AGAGCTCAGGCGATGCTGAATTTTGGCATCAATGTCAGCCCTTGTGGAACATATACAGTTTTTTTTATATACATACATAACTACTTCTTGACTTCCCACCCTTCCTTTCCTGATGCTTATTTTTATTATTTCTTTTTATTAGCTGTTTTAAAACACATATGTTTTTATTATCTAAGCCCCAATGTAGTTGATTCTTTCAATTATCAGCTGCTTATATTTCAAATCCTGCCTGTGACTTCATGTATGGGACAAGAAAGGATATTCCAGCTAAACTTCAGGAAGAACTTTCTGATATTAAGAGCTGTTCAACAGCAGAACAGACTCCATAGGAAGATGGTGGACTGTCATTCCTGGGAGGTTTTTAAGCAGAGCTTGGATGGGCATCTGTCATGGATGCTTTAGCTAAGAAGCCTGCATTGCAGGGGCTTGGACTAGATGACCCTTGGGGTCCCTTCCAATTCTAAGATTCTATGATAAAGTAACAAATAGGTTCACTTAATTCCTCACACCTTGCCACAGTATGTAGCAGCAACTTAGCTGGAGGGAGGTCAGGTGAGTGGCTCAGCTCTCCCACAGCATCTGCTATTGCTTATTTCACACTAAGATCAATGTATTTTAAAATTTGCCAACCCTCTGATGGATTGTGGCCAGTGAAAAAGCCCAGTGACTTTAGTGAATAGGACTTGTATCATTTAATAAAATACGCACACACATTTCTAACAAAGCTTTTTCCTTCTCATTTTTAAATAGCTCCTTATTCTAAATAGTTTTAAAATATATAGTGCTTTAAAAAAATTGAAGTAATTTTTCTCAATTTCAACAGGAGATAATCATACTTGTGGTTTTATAGGGGGAAAAAATTCTATCAATTAACATGCCAGTTTTAATAATAATAAAATAAAATGATGGACAGAATGGAAGACCTTTGACTACAGGTGAACAATTTATTATTAAAATAAATGGCAGATAAAACATCAAGCAGAAGCATTGCACAGGAAAGCTGCAGAGGGTTAAAATTAAAAACGCACACTAGCTCGTGCTAATGTTTTAAATAGCGGCCTAAGATTTATTAAGCCTTTTAACATTAGTGCAAACTAGCAGCAGAAATAGTTTTAAACCATCAGGGGAAATATGACTTAATGAGTTCACCTCCTGTAGTATTCTGAGCCAAATGTAATGGTGATGTAATTGGTGGCAGATGACATATTGGATGACAGAGGAGTCAAAACTGACAAAATAGCATAACTCACCCTAAGCAGACATTTGCTAGGTATGGTCAGGTTAACAAAAGATGTAACCCAAATTGTTTCTCACCTTCATTTCATTCAGTTCATCCACATATCCCTTTAACATGTTCTCACTGCATTCGTATGTCATGAGAGTATACGTTTCTAAAATTATTCATCAGAACCTTATCAGATCCTTCATTGCCATATTTGACATTAGCCTAATTGCAACCATAATCTCTCGGCATAAGTGATATAGTTTTTGCTGTACTGTTAAACAGCAAACTTTTGAGAGACTGACAGTTGCACTCTTACACATGGCTGCTCGTTTGGTTCAGCTGGGCTTAGGAGAGCAGGGTCTGTTTTGTAGGAATTTACAGACCCAGTGGGTTGAGGAAGGAGATACCAGCCAACATTTCCCCCAAGGAAAACAGAGTGATCACACCTGCTCACCCTATCCACCAGGCACATTTGTCCTGTCTGTAGGCCTGTCAGTAAGCTGTGCATGGATATTGCATTTTACATAGGGTTCACATCCCAAAACCTGAATCAAGAGGGCTATTGGGCTTGTGTCTTGCTTCCCATAGGCATCTAGACTAGCTGGGCTTGATGTGCCTTTGGTCTAACCCAGCAGGGCTCTTGCGTTCTTATGGATGCTGAATCAAACCATTATGTTTCACAGCAACTTGATTCAGGTCAACACAAATTGGACCCCCCAACCCCGTGCATAGACTTTGTGCATCTGTGTGCACATGTGAGCAACTGTACCAAGACTTAGTTGATGGCATAGCTATATATGATCGGTCTCCTCCACCAGCCTATATGTTTATCTGAACCAGCCCACTGAAAACCTGTGGAGGAACAATAACTATGCACCCTTCCCTAACTGTTGCACAGAAGAAGAAGAAAATAAAATTAGAAGTGTTATAGAAAAGGGGTATTGCTAAGCCAAATGGATTGGTTTAAATATTTTTTGACACATGGCACAAAGTTCATATACATTGCTTCAGGCAGTAGGAAACTTAAAAGCTAGTCTGATGGTAAAGTTTTTGAGGGTGGTTTTTTTTATTAAAAAAAACAAATATTCTTTGAATTTTATGGCTTGTCTCCCACATGAGGCGTAATAGTTTCAATGTTCTAATTAGTACTTGTGTATATTGCCATTACTTTGTCTCTTTAATCACATTATTAAGTCTGTTATGGAGATTCCTTATAGAATCACACTTTATAATAGTGGTTCTAATTTGAATATGTCCTTTTTATGTTGTCTGAATCTGAAACATCATAAACTCTTTTTATGGGCCCTTTGATAGTAGACACTTTCCTGCTTTATGCTTGATTAGAACATACAGTACTAAGTAATAAAGAAACTTCCTGAAGCTTTGGAATTTTACTGCTAGAAAATATCTCCGCTTCCTCAGGCTTTGGTTTCCCCTCTGACACTATGACATTCAGTCAGGGAAAGATAACCCCCAGTTCTTCAGAGACTGTTCCGCAGGAAATTTAAAACGAGGGGAAAAAACATATTTCTTCTTCTCTCTTCTAAAGAGAGTTGGCCAGCACTGCTTGTGACCCATGGAATCAAAGGCTCTCTCCACCAGCCATGCAGGGTCCCTCAAAGACTCAATCAATCTCCTGGTTTCTCTGGGACAACAAAAAGTGGGTGGGTTTCACCCTGCTCCCGACGGGCCACCATTACATAGTTCAGTAGTGTTGGTGTGACGTATCCATAGCTATATCTATATCTAGAAAGGAGAATTCCTGGAAGCCATGATCCAGGTTTGGGGCAAGTACTCTTGAAAACCTCAGCAGAGATTTAAAATCACAAAAATATACATAAATATGGGCTGTTAGACCTTCCAAATATGCCCTTCCAAAGTTTCCCACTTCCCCTAGCATATAAAGACCACGTGTTTGGTAAGTTAAAAATGGTTTACTTACAAACTCTCCAAAGGTCTGGTTCGTGTGCTTTTCCTAGTGTATCCATCACTAGGAAAGGTTGTACGGGCGGTAAAACTTAGCTTAGTTACAAAGTGGTAAAAGTTCCTAGATTATTGGAATAGGGATTTAATGGTGACAGCCAGCTCAAATCTCTTCATGCCTTCTCAGACTGAACACAACAATAAACTTGAATACCCATTTCCTCCCAAGGTGAGGGGAAGTGACACAGCTAAGCCTGGCAGGACAGCTTACTCTATGGTATTAACCCCTTCATGTGTTAATTGGACTTAAGCATGTTGGTTGGATGATGCTGGCTATCCCACAAGTAGCAGAGCATCTACTTTGCATTCAGAATGTCCTAGATTAAATTCCTGGGCATCTCCAACTAGGGCTGGGAGAGAACCCTATCTGAAATCTTGGAGAGCTGTAGTCAGTCTGCGTAGATAATGCGAATACTTCCTCGCTTCCTGTGTTGCTGCTAGTGATGCTACTGAATTTTGGGGCAGTTCAGTTTGGAACAGGCATTTGACTCATGATGCTCAGTTATATACTGAACCAAAGGCCATGCCTATCCCTCAAGTTTCTCTCTTGCTCAGATCACAGTATGCAGGGCTTGCTGAGGTTCAAAACCTGACTGGAAATTACAGAAGTGAGCTGGGTCCAAATTAAGTTAGCTGCACAGCTTGCAGTGAAGTCAAGGGGATTTAAATTGTGACTAATGTGTACCATCGGTTTCAAGGGGACATTCTATACATGTCTACACCGAAGTAAGCCCTATTGAGTTCAGTGCAACACCTCCAAGTTGTAGCCAGCATTCATCCTTAAAGGACTTTGTCAGACCCCAAATGCAGCTTATGACACAGATCTATTATCTTGGCTATTCCCTGCAGAGAATAAGTATACTCCCTGCCTTTTACAGTGGCATCATTCCTAGGCAAGCATTGCAGCCTTATCAGGGGAAGCATGTAAGCTTCTGATAGGATGAGAAACGTATCCCTGTCATTTTTATAAGCCTGCTCCAAGAGTCCTGTTTTTTGTTAGTTCAATGTGCCAAAATGCAGAGCAGTTCCAGCCCAGGTTTTCACAATTGCGCAGTCTCCACAAGCTAGACCTGGCAAGGCAATAATGAAATCTCCTTCTAGACTTAATTCCTACCCTTTTTGTGGATTGGTTTGTAACACAAATTTGAAATAAACAAGTGTCTATCTGTCTGTCTGTTTGTCTGTCTATCTATTATCTATCTATCTATCTATCTATCTATCTATCTATCGATCTATCGATCTATCGATCTATCGATCTATCATCTATTTTCAACATTTTAAATACCTTTGAACTCTGAAGCTTATTCAGTACAGTCAACACGTTGGCTTCCTTTTTGTGATGGAAATAAGATAGAAACGAATGGAAAAAACCCCATAGAAATGATATTTAAATATTTTAACAGCTCAAAGTTTCTTAGATGGTTGTATCTTTCATAATTTAAACTTGGCACAAACTATAGCATCTCCCACTTCATAGCACTGTCCAGTTTCTGTGCTGGTGGGAACAGGGATAAAATTAATAAAACTGTTCTGGAAAGCCTTCTTTGCAGAATTTCTCATCTTTTCTAAAGTTCTGTTCCAAAAGGTTTCCTGACTCTATTCTTTGCTTTTTTTAATGGTTTCTGGGGGAATAGATGCATCCAAATGACAGCATTGTTTTCGGACTTTCCTTCCTGATTTGGTTCTTGGAAACAAAACATTTCCAGGATTAGCCTCTGGTATGAAATCCAGTTTCTCTTTTTAAATGGATGAGTTTGATCTGCCAGGAACTTCTCTACAAATGAGGCCAGATCTTAGATCTTAACATGATGCTCTATTCCATTCAACACACTTTTTTTCATTCACTGCCCTGCTCTGCACCCCTTCTACACAGAACAGCCTTTTTAAAGAAAGAAAGAAAGAAAATGAAAAATATATGCACCTGACCAGGCTCTGCTTTTGGCTGCTGGCAGCCAGCATTGAACCCACTGCTCTGCTTATCTCCATCTGCTGCATTCGTTGTGCCTTCTCCAGTAATCAGGTATCAGCTGATTTTCCTAGTTCTGCACTATTGCTACTCTGCTCTCATTTTCTGGAGGCAAATGTGTACGGCATTGTGCCCTGCAAGGTCCCCAGTCACCTTGGTTGAGCTTCATATGTGCACATATGCTGTATGGAGCCATTCTTACATGAGCTTTTACATGAGTGCCATTGTTCAGGAAATTTTGCCCTTCGGTGGGAACTGGCTATACATTGTTTTTCTATATTGTGCTCATGGAGGGAAGAACTATTGTCTTCTTTTTTAAAAGATTGTAGATCGTTTTGCTAGTGGTAGATTTATGATGATCAGGATATTAAATTCTGCTTCCCTCCCTGGTTGGGCCATAATGAATATTCCCCCCCCCCATTTTTTTTGCTATGTTAACCAGTCTTTGGCTGGATCTATACACATCAAAAAAGTGTTTCAGGAAAACACATTGTAAACTTTATAATGGGAAATCATGTTGGCGAAAGACAGGACTCCACAGCGCCATTTGGTGCCACAGTGTTATAACACATATTAAACACTTTTTATTTACTAATGTAGCTGAGTTCCTCGACTAAGAAGTGGGTTGAATGCATATGGAGCGTGCAGTAGCAGCTCAGGATCTTCAACAAGTCTTTTATTTATTTATTTCACACAGCTCTTGAGTAACCGGTCAACGCAAACTGTGACTGCAGGCACAGATAACAGCCCTGGATCTCTGTTCATGAATTTGATGAAGTAAGTAATTTGAATTCAGGTGTGTCATTTATGTTCACAACAACTGAAATAAGGAAACATTGTTGGATCTTCACCCAGAGTGGCAATTTGATTCTGTTATTTTAGCCACAGCTCATTTTGGTTCACACTAAAGGCCCTCCATTGTTCTTACAGCAAAAACAACAATCCCCCACCGTGTTCTGGTGGGCTACCCAGAGCCCACCTGCCACTTGTAAGCTTAGCACATGGGCTTCAGAGAACATTCCAGCTGTCCCTTTCCCAGATCTTTTCTGGAAGCAAAGTATGTCATTGGCATCTTTACTGGGGCAGCCATAATTTGACCTAAAGGACTTATTTATTATAGATCTTGCTTGTGTATACACTTTATTGAACATGTAAAACACCAGATTAGTCCATAAAAGGGCTAAATTATTAGAGCAGGAACTAGCCACTGAGGTTAATGAAAATATAATTAGTGCTGCTTGAGCTACATGCTGTTGAAAGAAGGGTCATAAATCCTATTAATCTCTTTTTCACTCAAAAATTATTGACCTGACAGGCCACAACGGTGTGGTCTATGTGTCCATATAGAGTTGAAGGCTCTTTCTTTCTTTCTTTCTTTCTTTCTTTCTTTCTTTCTTTCTCTCTCTCTCTCTCTCTCTTACTCTCCCTTCCTTCCTTCCTTCCTTCCTTCCTTCCTTCCTTCCTTCCTTCCTTCCTTTCCCTCCCTCCCTTTTGAATCACATTTTCAGTTTGTGTCAAAACCACAGGAGGATCTGTTCTTGAGACATATACTGTGTCATATAAAAGTAATGCCACAGGCTGGATGTGATGCAGGTTGAAAATATATGTTTGTCTGAGAACAACCAAGAAGAGGCACCCACCACTTTGCAATGGCCTCTTACCAGGCAAAAGCACACCCCCCCCCGAAAGAAATGTGCAGGCCAGGGACCTGATGGCTGAGATGTTCCTGGAGAAGAATGTCCTGGGAACTCCTGGGATTTAGGACAGTCTCTCCCAGAGTCATCATGCCTGATAGTTCCTTATGTTGACTGAAGGAAAGTGATCTAGGCTTTCCAACCGACCAATCTCTAAGTTCAAAGCTTTTGCCCATTCACTGCTGCCAGGGAATTTGCTGGGACTTAGCCACATTAGGATGCCTTAGGCATGTTGCCCCATACACTTAAGCATGCATTTGGGTATGTTACTGATCATTAAATTGCAACTTAATTTTCTTTGTGAACCAGTAGTGTTTTTTTATTGTAGTATATTAATTAGTACTCATTAATGATCTTTTAATCGAAATCAGGAAATGTGATGCTAAAATCATTCAACAGCCAATCTTCAAATCAAATTGGGCTGTTAATGGTGGGGGTGGAAGGAGCTGTGGCTTGAGGAAACTTCTAAAATTTCAAAGAACTCCATAAAATGACTTAGCCCTTCTACAAAAATGAACTCTTACCATTGAATAGGTTTCAAATGAGTTCTAAATACTTTGTGTTATCAAAGCGCAATTTACAGAATTAAATGTAGTTAATATTCAGAGCCAAGTCAGGTTGTTTCTTTGTTTACAACAAGATTGGGATTAAGAATAAAGTAAAATGAAATGCAATGGTAATCGAAAATATCTAAAATCAGTGACACAGGCACTAAGGGACGAGATTCCAGGGAGCAGACAGTGGATCAAGGGAGAAACCTTCAGTTCTGCTCTGGGGTTACTAGTTGGAAACTATGGTGGCAACTTTGTATATGCATGAAGAGAAACATGCTTCACGTTGCACTTCTCTCCCATTAACTCTGGTCAGTATGGCCAATGGTCAGGGATAAAGAGGGTTGGGATCAAAAAATGGGGGGGGGGCAGTTTGGGGAATTTTACTCTGTGTCTTTTATGGCAAAGATAACTTCTGTACTGGAAGAGACCAAGAAACTCACAGTCAGGCCATAGAATATCCAATTACTATTGCTTAGCATGTCCCCTGGCACATCAATTGCAGCATGTGCCCATTCTTCCACTCCTGAATACAACCTCCAGTTGCATTCCCCCTTTTTTAAAATGTCCAATTTCTTTATTTTTTCTCCTTTTGCATGAACAGGAGCCTCCACATCACCTTGTCAGTGATAGCTCCTGATATTATTTGGGGTTCATAGTGCCACCCTTTCTTTAAAGTCCATTACAACTGTTAGGTCTCTGCTTTCTCTTTCCCATGTGCAAGAAATTTCACTCTATTTCACTCTATTCTTCAGCATACCTGAAGGAGCGTCTCCACCCCCATCGTTCAACCCAGACACTGAGATCCATCACTGAGGGCCTTCTGGCAGTTCCCTCACTGCGAGATGTGAGGTTACAGGGAACCAGGCAGAGGGCCTTCTCGGTAGTGGTGCCCACCCTGTGCAATGCCCTCCCATCATCAGATGTCAAGGGGATAAACCACTATCTGACTTTTAGAAGACATCTGAAGGCAGCCCTCTTTAGGGAAGTTTTTAATGACTGATGTTTTAATGCATTTTTAATCTTTTGTTGGAAGCCGCCCAGAGTGTCTGGGGAAACCCAGCCAGATGGGTGGGGTATAAATAAATTATTATTATTATTATTATTATTATTATTATTATTATTATTATTACCCTAGGGTTTTTGAAGCAATCCTATGCATATTTAGATGGAATCAAATCCCCTTATATTCACTGGGGCTTGTTCCCAGGTAAGAGTGCATAGGATTGAGTAAGTAGCACTGCAATCTGCAGTGCATTCTGACAACTAGTGAAGCTTAACAGTCAGAAAAATGGCACATGAATATTTTTCTGAAGGAGGGATAACGTTCAGAGATAAATAGATTTTTCTCCAATGTCAGCTTGGTAGAAATTGGCCATGTACCTGCTCTCCAGTATTTTTATAGGAATTACTGTTTTGTGCTCCTGGCTGAATTTCCCACTGCACCTGGCACACACAAGCCCTAGAGAAAACCAATACTGCATTACGTGTGGGTGATGTGGAGCTACAGTCCAGAGTTGTTGCAAGGTCATTAGGCTATTCGTCAATCTGCCTAATGAGCTACTCAGCTTTCCAGTATTCAGGTATACAGTTGCTGACAAAGGTCTCTTGCATCATAGTTAGTCACAATTGCTATTCTCACCTGACTTGAAGTGTTCCAGCCATCTGTACTCTTTTATCAGCTTAGTGCCTTCCTCAATTTACAGTTTTCCTGTACTATTAATGTTTTCACGGCCTAGTAAAGCTATCATGACAATGGTTGAATGTACTGTTTCACTACATGATGATGATGATGATGAAGAAGAAGTTGATATGGTTTCTTGGCATCATGAAATATTCTTGCAACGAGTTAGTAGCTTCGTTGTGCATTGTGCAAACAAAGTTTAAGCAAAACGGCAGGTATGCATCCCTTCTTTGGGCATTTGGCATTCCCAACTGTGCAGCAGGCTTGGCACATACAGTTCTGTGTGCATGAAGGTCTCTCTGCTACAGATGTTTGTGCTGTACACATGGAAGCCAGATGCTGGAATTGGTCCATGCTCCCTGCTCATTCTCTGACTGAGCATGTGGGCAGAATTTACAAAGAGAGCTTAGTCCATAGGCGGATGTCTAGATTTTATGCCGCTGTCAGAACCACTTCACCCAGTTGTGGATTTATTTATTTTCCAGAAAACCAGGCAGCCATCTGAGCTTCACAGCACTGGAGACGATACTTTGAGGCAACTGTGTCAAAGCCTCTTTCCTGTTTCACAGAAAGGCAAAGGCTGCTTCCATGCCTCCTGGAAAACCCACCAGAGAGTTCATAAGATGCCAGCCCTGTGAGGTAGGCTAGGCTGAGAGCTGGTAGTTCAGAGACCAAAACTGTGAAACTGCACATATTTAGAATATTTGCTGCTTGTTACTTATTAGGGTTGGCAATTGGGGGGGGGTCTGCTTATTTGGAGGTTTTGCTGTAAATATCAGAACTGTAGCTTCTTCCCTGTGAATGACATTGCATAAGGACATAAGAAGAGCTCTGCTTGACCAGGCTAAGGGCCCATCTAGTCCAGTATCCTGTTCTCACAACAGCCCCCCAGATGTCTGTGGGAAACCAGTAAACAGGACCTGAGCACACCAGCACTCTGCTCCCCTGTGCTTTCCAGGAACTGGTATTCAGATGCATACCACTGGCAGATTTAGGGCAGGACAACTGGCTCCTCTGCACTGGGCCCAGGAGATGTAAAAAATCACCTCAGAAATCTGTAAAGGAACATGTCAAGAAGCTGTCCCCCAAAGTCACCTCCACTCTGGGCAGGCTGCTGAGTTTTCCCTAAGGCAACTAGGCTCCAAGAGCTGCAACCATGTCAGCCTTCAGCCCCAAATTACACCCCCACTGACCTCTGCCTTCGGTTCAGAAACGGATCCGCAGCACCCCCTGTCGTCCTCCACCATCACCCCATGCTGCTCTGCAGGTGCCGGCCTGGTCCTGGTGGCACCAGCGGATGCTTCAACTGCTCTGACTCCTCCTTCTCCACACCAACCACTGGCCCCCACACCTGCAGGTGTGCAGCACCACTTGGCTCTATCCAAAGGAGGGAACTGAAGAAAGACCAGCTGCCCTTCTTTGACTGAGCATTGCTAGTTACGGTACTTTAGGGACTCGGGGCACAGGCACGTGACACAGTTTTGCATAAGCTAATCTATATGCCTAGATAAAGGTGAAGGTAAAGGGACCCCTGACCATTAGGTCCAGTCGTGACCGACTCTGGGGTTGCGGCGCTCATCTTGCTTTATTGGCCGAGGGAGCCGGCGTTTGTCCGCAGACAGCTTCCGGGTCATGTGTCCAGCATGACTAAGCCACTTCTGGTGAACCAGAACAGCGCACGGAAACACCGTTTACCTACTTGCACTTTGACGTGCTTTCGAACTGCTAGGTTGGCAGAAGCTGGGACCGAGCAACGGGAGCTCACTCTGTTGCGGGGATTCAAACCGCTGACCTTCTGATCGGCAAGTCCTAGGCTCTGTGGTTTAACCCACAGCGCCACCCGCGTCCCATATGCCTAGATACTTCTGGTCAAATTACTTCTGGCTAGATGTCACCAGCCTTGCATTTTGTAGTGCGTCCAGCCACCTGTCAGAGACTGGCTGGATGACAAGGAGTGGTGGGAAGCACCAGCCGGGGAACCCCCAAGGGAAATCCCAGAGGAGGAAGGCTCAGAAATCTGGGATTGGTAGTGGGACACGGAGGAGAGGTCAGAGAGGGAAGATTGGGAGGAGGTGGTAGATACCGAAGGGACAAGAGGATTTAGTGAACAGGAGGAACCTGTGGCAAGGCTGAAGCAGAGGAGGGGGGTCAAGAGATTCTGAAGCATCCCAGGAATTGTCTTCTCGTGCTGCAACAATTTTCCCTAGCCCCCGATCTCCAAGAAAGTGCAAGATAACAAGGAGGGAGGAACAGAGTTCAGAGATGGGCAGAAATAGTTTGAGACTGCTTGGGAAACATCTGGGAGAGGAGGGAAGGGAAGCAGGGACCTTCAGTCCTGGCAACTGCTCTGTGGGGGCAAGACCTACTGGGAAGTGTTGCTGAGTCGTTTGCCATTTCCTTGAATAAAGAGGTAACTTCACTGACAACTGACTCTGCCTCTTCATTCTGAGCTGCATCTGACTCCAGCCCTGAAAGCACCTTGTTAGCAAAAGTGATTTACAGTGGTACCTCGGGTTACATACGCTTCAGGTTACAGACGCTTCAGGTTACACACTCTGCTAACCCAGAAATAGTGGTTCAGGTTAAGAACTTTGCTTCAGGATAAGAACACAAATCGGCTCCGGCAGCAGGAGGCCCCATTAGCTAAAGTGGTGCTTGAGGTTAAGAACATTTTCAGGATACGTACGGACCTCTGGAACGAATTAAGTACTTAACCTGAGGTACCACTGTAGAAACAAACAAACAAACAAAAACTTTTCAAACTTTTTGAAAAGGTAGGAGATCCAAGGCTTGGTACAAAAGACCAGTGACTTGAGCCTCCTGGACGACCCACGAAAGCATCCCTGCATCTTCATAGAAATTAGCCAGATCATGTTTCTTTTTTTTTAATAAGATATTTATTAAGATTTTCCAAATGTTACAATATAAAAATGAAAAAGAAAAAAAGAAAAAAAGAAAAAATACAAAATACAAAATAAAAATGATTAAAAACCACGCAATTTTTCCATTACTTATTTTTCCTTAGCTTGTTTCCCAGACCTCTTCATACCTCCCTTTTTTGTATTCCAGTTCAATTTGTTGGTTCAGCAAATCCTTACCCTCTTTATTTATCCTAGTCTTTGGTCTTAAAATAATAACGTTAGATTTTTACCTATTAACAACCCATTTTTCATATTCCCTTAAAGCATTACCGCTGGAAACCACTTAATTTCTATCCAACATCATTCTAACATTCATTAATTTTACAATATTTCTGTAGATAATCTTTGAATTTCTTCCAATCTTCTTCCACCGACTCTTCTCCCTGGTCTCGGATTCTGCCAGTCATTTCTGCCAGTTCCATATAGTCCACCAGCTTCATCTGCCATTCTTCCAGAGTGGGTAGATCTTGTGTCTTCCAATACTTTGCAATGAGTATTCTTGCTGCTGTTGTAGCATACATAAAAAAAGTTCTGTCCTTTGGCACCAATTGGCCGACAATGCCTAGGAGAAAGGCCTCTGGTTTCTTCAAGAAGGTATATTTAAATACCTTTTTCAGTTCATTATATATCATTTCCCAGAAAGCCTTAATCCTTGGGCACGTCCACCAAAGGTGAAAGAATGTACCTTCAGTTTCTTTACATTTCCAACATTTGTTATCGGGCAAATGATAAATTTTTGTAAGCTTGACTGGGGTCATGTACCACCTGTATATCATTTTCATAATATTCTCTCTTAAGGCATTACATGCCGTAAACTTCATACCTGTGGTCCATAACTGTTCCCAGTCAGCCATCATTATATTATGTCCAACATCTTGTGCCCACTTAATCATAGCAGATTTCACCATTTCATCTTGAGTATTCCATTTCAACAGCAACTTATACATCTTTGACAAAATCTTAGTTTTGGGTTCTAACAGTTCTGTTTCTAATTTTGATTTTTCCACCTGGAAGCCAATTTTCTTGTCCAAATTATATGCCTCCATTATCTGATAATGATGAAGCCAGTCTCACACTTTATTTTTTAATTTCTCAAAACTCTGCAATTTCAGTCTATCTCCGTCTTGTTCCAAAATTTCCCAATATTTCGGCCATCTGGCCTCCATATTGAGCTTTTTCAGAGCTTTTGCTTCCATCGGTGACAGCCACCTTGGGGTTTTATTTTCCAATAAGTCCTTGTATCTTATCCAGACATTAAACAATGCTTTCCTGACAATATGATTTTTAAATGCTTTATGTGCTTTGACCTTATCATACCACAGATATGCATGCCATCCAAATACATTGTTAAAACCTTCTAAATCCAAAATGTCAGTGTTTTCAAGAAGCAACCATTCTTTCAACCAGCAGAAAGCTGCTGATTCATAGTAAAGTTTAAAGTCTGGCAGGGCAAATCCACCTCTTTCCTTTGCATCTGTTAATATTTTAAATTTTATTCTAGGCTTCTTGCCCTGCCAGACAAATTTAGAAATATCTCTCTGCCACCTCTTGAAACAGTCCATTTTGTCCACAATTTGCAATGTTTGAAACAAAAACAACATTCTAGGCAATACATTCATTTTTACCGCAGCAATACGGCCCATAGCCAGATCATGTTTCTTGCATCCAATAAGAGCATCTGGATCACTCAGAGGCCTGTTCTTCCTGACTAGTATCTGCCCTTACTTTCTTTGGAGCCAGGTCTACTTGTTTATACCCACAGAAGAGAAAGAAATCCATACATCAATTTTCTTTCTTCCACTAGGCTCTGGATCTGAGGGTGTTGTCCTTCATGTTTCAGCATGTTCTTAGAGAGAGGTGTAACACTCTAAGTAGTTCAAGTCCCTACAAATAATTTTCTTAGCATATTTTCAACAAAAACACAGCATAGGGTCTGTCATAACTTACTCTTTCAAGCATCCACAGCAGTCTGTTTTCAATACAGGAGCAAAGTGCAACATACCCTTGAGGTATGCTTATTCAGAAATCAATCTCATTTTCTAGTAGCACAGCCCCAGTCATTTAAATTTGTGCATGCCATTCAGCTACAGTGTGAGAACAGAAAAAAAGGGAGAAAGATATTCTGCTTACAAATAGGTTATCTCAAGTAAGATGGGGTGGGGTGGGGGACACCATTTGATTTGGGGGCAAAAGGCTCATATGAGCTCTCTATATGATGAATGTCAAGCTTTCAATGGCCAACAAAACTTGTATAATTTCAACACCTCCACTTCTGTCTGGCAGAAGTGATCCTTCCTAGGGTGTTGTTTTTCCTTCCTATTCTAGCAGAAGACAGGCATGACTAGCCTGCAGCCAGGGTATTTTGAAGTCTTAGCTAGAATCAAGGAATGGATCCATCATAAACATTATATTGAAGGAGGAGGAGGAGGAAGCCTTCAGAACTAGCTTAGCAGATGCACACCAACAGCTGGGCGTACGCACTGATGGCCAAGCAGAAGACAACCTGCAACATTAATTTGAGTTGTGAAAATAAAGCCGATTTCACTTTCCTCCAGAGACAGGCATGACTGATAAAAATTGTATATCTTTAGAATCTCTGTTCCCTGTAGTCAACGCCACCTGTGACATGAGAACCACAAGGATATGATTGGTGGATGCTGTTCCTGTAGATTATTCTAATGGTTCAAATCAAATGTATTTGAATTCGTAACTTTTTATTGCACATCTTGGAATGCATTTTTCGACCACATGTTGGAACATTTGTGCTCCAAAAAAAGGGAGAAAGAAATGAAATTCCATCTTTATGTTTGAAATTTATGGGAACACAATTAAAATGAGAGGGGTCCAAAGGTATCAAGATAATTACATTTTTCTAATCTTACTAAACAAGATAAATTACCTGCAGGCCCTCTTATAAAAGATGAAATCTTCATAATAAGTGAATTAATCAAGCAGCAGCTTGCTACTGCACATGCATTTATAACGGGAATGATTCAAAGAGTTATTTTATGGGGAAATTAATGGAAGCCGGCTTTTCATTCTTCTGCACCAATTGAAAACCTCAGCAGCCAGCTGCCCACTTGTCAAGAAAACAGAAAGAAGCTGGGAACAAAGATAAATAAAAACACCTTTTCCCTGGCACTTTTGAAGAGAAAAAACAGCTCTCATTTACAGCAGCCATCTGTTTGTTATTTAATATGGGTGAATTACATGCTGTAATGAGTTTGTTTCTGCATCACTCAGTGCAATGGAACACAAGTTCACTCTCATAATGTGCCGCAGTTTTTAAAAGCTAATCATTTAATTGGACACAATAGTCAATGACAAATGGAGATGTAAAAACTCAGCCAGCTGTAGAGTGAATATGTAATCATTGTGAAATCATATTATTTTACACGCATGAAAAGTCCTTAATAGTAGCTGATGTTGGCCTGCACAACGGGAACTAGGAAGGCCACAGTGGCATGATGGAAAACAGCAGTTTGGAAATGGGGGGCGGGGGGAGCCAGCCTATAATATAATTGGGCCATATTGGGACCCAGACTTGAGCTTCCATTAGGCGAAGGCGACAAATAATATCTAAATCGTTTTCATCGCCTCCCTCAATTTCTGTTTACATTTGTTTTTAAAGTTCATGGTTCAGTAGGTGCGATCCACTGTTTGCTGAGCTTGAAATTATCTGCTCTGTTTTGATACGATGTACTGGGCAATTTCCACTGAGCTGCTGATTTTGAACAGAACATTGTGCCCAGATGAGAGGCCAGGCATTCCCAAAGCAATATATCAGTCAGGTATCTTAGGCCTAAAGAGCTTGAGAACCTGCAGCACACAGTATGCACGACTTTTTAGGACGTTAGAACTTGAGATTCGTGCTGCATAAAAATTTAGCGTTTTATGGAAGGCCTAAAGATGATGGGAGACTTTTTTTCCTCATCCTGTCCAGTGAAACTCACTTCCTGAGTCTCCACTTTGTACCATCAACATCCAACTACATGGAGCAACTACAGGGAAACTCAGAGTGTGGTGAGCTCAGAACACATGTCAATTGTTCTCAGGCTTTTGGGGGGGAAGTGTGTGGGGGGGGACAGTGTGACAAATGAGAATGCTCAGTCCTCATCAGGCTGTTTTGGGGTCCTCCCTTAAGATTCTTCTGCAAACTTTGTGCCCCCTCCCCAAATCCTATCCTAAACTCTTTAAAACCCTTCCAACAGTAGCAGGTGGAGTGGTGGAAGAGACTTTCACCTAAGTAATTACCAGTTGCCATTCTCCCCTTCTTGGGTAAGGCTCTTGAGTGGTTGGTTGCAGACCAGTTCCAGGGTCCCTTGGAGGAAAATGATTTTCTAGATGAACGTCAATCAGGGTTTGGACCCAGTTTTGGCTTTGGTCACCCTGTATGATGACCTCTGTCAGGAGAGAGACAGGGGAAATATTTCCTTCTTAATTCTCCTTGAGTTCTTAGTGGGTTTCAATACCATAAACCATGGTAGCCTTCTGGAGCGGATGTCCAAGTTAGAAGTGGCACCACTTTGCAGTGGTTCTGGTCCTGCTTGGATGGTCGTTTCTAGACGGTGATGCCTGAGGAGTACTTTTTGGCCTTGTGGAGCCTTCCATGTAGGGTTCCTCGGGGTTCAGTGTTATCCCCTATGCTGTTTAGCATCTGCATGAAACCGCAGAATGGGATCATCTGGAGTTTTGGAGTGTGTTGTTAACAATATGGTGATGACACAGCCCTCTGCCTCTCCTTTACATCTGCAGGTGAGGCAGTGGATGTGCTGGACCATTTTCTTGCCTCGGTAATGGACTGGATGAGAGCCAATAAACTGAAGCTCAATTCAGATAAGACTGTTAGTGGGTGGATCCCTAGACCGGTGGCCCAGCAGCACCTTTGTCTGGACAGGGATAGCTGAAATTTTGTCATCTGTGGCCTAATTTTTTTTGTCGTCTAACCTCTGGTAACCTCCCAGGTTCAATCCCTTATATCTGCAAGTGAAGCTGGGAATGTCCATTACCCTTTTGAACACATTCTGCAACATCTTTGGGAGACTATGGTTTAGATTTAGGGTTTCTTAAACTCAAGTGAAGCCTGTTACGAATTGTATGGCTCATAATTTTTTAATGAAGTCTGACTACTACATCAGAGGAAGAAGAAAAAAACCAACCTGTGTTGATTAAACGTTTCAGAGGCAGCAAACAGAGTGGAATGATTTGGTATTACCTAGAATTAAAAGACATCCAGGAGTTTTCCTGTAAAGCGACATACCAAAAGCAATATATATTAGAAAAAAGGCATTTGAGAAAGGATTTATATGTGCAGAGAGAGCAACTTGAACATGCCAGACCGCCACCCAGGAAAGAAGATAAAGAAAAAATATGCTGTAAATTAAGAAAACATTCCAAACATACTTCACAAGTACAATCTGGTGGAAACAAATTGTGCTGTGTGTTTCCAGCAGTTGATTAACTGCGAAGTAAGCAAAGTAAATCATATGATGTTCACCTCTAGAAAAGCGAGAAATTAACAAGAGGACAGAAAAACAAACAGGGAGGTTGAAAATACACATAAAGCACAAAATTAGTAAAACATAATGTAATAAATGTAGTTAAAAGACAACCTGAACTGAGCAATATGAAAGTCACGCCATCATGTATGCTCATGGAGACCAATAAAATATTTGGGTGTTTCATAAACAAATATGTTTTCCTCATCAATTCATTCTTGATGTGTAGGGCTCATGAGAAAGAGAATTAGGCCACTGCAAATGAGCTTGGATAGGTAATATCACAATGGTAAAATTTATCCATTGTGATTTTATTAGTTGTATTTCCTCCCTGCCTTTTCTCCAAGGAGATCCGGGAGGGTTGTGACGGTCACTCCCATTGTTTTATCCTAACAACAAGCCTGTGAGTAGGTTATGCTGAGAGAGAGAGATTGGCCCAAGGTCACCCAGTGAGCTTCATGGATAAGTGGAGATTTGAATTTGAGTCTCCAAATCCTACAGGTTTGTTCACACATTATGCTGACCACAGGTACAAGCTGTCTCTGTGCATGTGCAGAGGGTGTACTTGTTTACATGTACCATTTATTTATTTCTATCGGGTACACAGACTGTACATGCAAACATAACATGTATGTTATTTGTGCACCCAGGTACACATTTTTTATTATTCTGTTGCTTTCCTCACAAAAGTGATTCAAAGCAGCTTGCAAAAACACCAAAACACTAAAACTAAGTATAACAAACAACCAAACACCCCCCCCCTAAAAACAGCGGTATACAGATAAAAGACCACACCACTAAAGGCAGCCACAGATTGAATAGAGAAACACAAAAATGTTGTGTTAAATGTTAAAAATACAAAATTGGTAAAACGCAATGTAATAAACACTTGTTGAACACTGGGTTAGATTGCCCTGGTCCTGATTCATACATAGACATAACATTGCACAATTTGTAATGTATAATGCTCTTCATTATTTTAAAAAATCGCTAAGTGGTATACATAAAACATTGATATACATTATCAATAATCCATTCCCTCCCCTTGTGCCTTTCCCCTTTCTGTTGAAAATATGCTATTAAAGTGACAGAACAATCACAACCACAACTGCTTGTGCAACAAATATCCTTGCTTTGAATTCTTGTTTTATCTCTAATGGGAGCAAGTATATAAAGGCTAAGCACTGAGCATTGTTGAATCAGAAATGTTGGACTGTGTTACATGAAGGGGCTAGAGGCTTCTTCAGAAACTGAAGGGAAGAGCAGTGGGCATCACTAATCACTGCTACTGGGAAGCAGTAGAAGTCTCTTGACTGGCCAGGGCTGCATAAATACTAGGAACTTTGGATTCTGCCTTTGCATGGTCAACAAATGCAAAGAAGTCCCCTGAAGGGACTCTTGAGATAGAGAACAGGTGCTCTGGGGTGGCATTTAGGTAGAGCTGCCCACAGCCCCTGCTTAAATTCGATATACTGGTCAACTTTGCTCCACTAAACATTTCTGTCCCATGAGGTGGAAATGGGCAAAACAGTAAATGATGGCAAAACAGTAAATGATCCCTGGAACAAATACAGAATTGGGAAACTTAGTTTGGGTTCAGTACTGAGTAATCATAAGAGGCCATCTTAAAAAAATATATCATTTTTTAATTTTTTTTTGCAAGCTGTTTCATAAAATGTGTTTTGTGCTCAGTAACTAATTCCAATGAATACAATGTGTATATATCATATACACATTGGGTACACAGTGAGCAGGGCCCAGATTCATTTCTGTACAGTGGTACCTCGGGTTACAAACACTTGGGGTTACAGACTCCGCTAACTCGGAAGTAGTACCTCGGGTTAAGAACTTTAACTCAGGATTAGAACAGAAATCGCACAGCAGCCCCGTGGGGGCAGCGGGAGGCCCCATTAGCTAAAGTGGTACTATACCTCAGGTTAAGAACGGTTTCAGGTTAAGAACGGACCTCCAGAACGAATTAAGTCCGCAACCAGAGGTACCACTGTATTTTGAAGGGCAAAGCCACAATGGATATACACTGTGGTTCCCATGGTCAGTGCCGATGCTGCTCATAGGCAGTGCAACATGTGGCTGGATGAGGGAGGAGGCAATATACACTGATGTCGGTTATTCAGATTTATGCAGTCATCAGGGCAGGAGCAGGCATCCACATGGACCCTTTCGTCCTCTTCAGATTTCCAGCAGTTGCACAGCCCATCCTTGGCCTGGTGATGTTGGGTTGATGTAAACTTAACTCAAAATTGGATTTAAGATTTCTCTGGCTTATAAATAAAAAGAAGAGTTGTATTTTATTGTGCAGAAGGAGATGGGGCAGATGATTCCCTTCAAGATTAATATATACCAGTTAAACACAGTCATATTTAAAACTAGACATTTCTACATCTGCTGGAAGTATTGCCCATTATTTCAAACTTAAACCCATCATATTCACAAGAACAAAGAAAACAAAATTCAGCTTTTCTCTCTCCTATAGATAAAGTGGTACCAACACCCAGACTGGTACAAAATCCGATTTGCTCTCATTTGGTAAGTTGTATGATTGATGTTGAAGAGTGTGAACTGAATTTCAGCCATTTCATATGTCCCTAGCTATAATGAAGTAATGATATAGACTCCAGTAACTTACAGGCTTTCTCGTATATTTGAACATCCCATAACTTACTAGCTCCAGAGGCTACCATGAGTTATATCACAGTTCTGTCCTATAGTCTCCAGAACTTGTAACTCACTATCAGCTACAAGCAATTTCATTTATTTAATGTTTTTGTAGTCTTTTGTAGTCCTTCCCCCACCTTTTTTTTTACTTTCTCTTTCCCTCCTCTCTCTGTCAAACACACACACACACACACACACACACACACACACACACACACACACGCTTCTGAAAAGTGTGATTAACAGAAATATGTTTAATAGGTTGGAGAAATGGATGTCAGTTGACAAAACCAGAACCTGCAAATGATTCAGTAGCATGGGTTCAAATTAAATAGTAACTTTAATTGTTCTAAAGCCCTTCTCATGGTTCTTTATTTGGACTTGGACCAGAGAGCCCTTCAAATGGAATATTCTTTCAAACAGGCCTTGAAACAGAAGACTGTTCTCTATAAAGTAGGACATGATACATGAGCACCCTAATGTCAAAACATTTGCAGAACCAGATTACCTTGCGCATTTAGTCTTGTTTGGGGGAAAAAATATCCAACTACAAGCCTAAAACAGGTCGCTAGCCATTTTAACTTGCATAATTCCATATTACAATGTTTTAAAAAAGAATTCCATATTGTGAACTCTAGTTTATAGCGGGATGTAGTAATGGATCTTTTTTCTAGGAGAGAAATTGTATGAAATTTTGCTAGGTGAGCAAATTTGCATTCCCCCCACTTAATAAAAGCTTGCCAAATCTGTGAACCGTGATGGAAGATATTAATTAAAGTCCATGCACAAATTAAGATGGGGAGGGGGGAAATCAGAGCACCAAGAAATAAATTAAGGAATCCTGTAACATAAAAGCAGCTAGGAAGCCCTGGAGTATTGCGGGAGTAATAAGCACAAGAAAAGATGACCATCACACAGAAGGAGGAGTGAGTGAACCAATGTGTAACAGAGAAGCTGGCTCTAAAGGAGAAAAGCTTGAAATGCTGATTTCAGGGTCAGTACAAACTCCTCCTGAACTGGGTGGAAGTAGGCCTTCTGTAACTTTTGTGCCTTTGCATTTGTGAATTGAAGACTATTTCTTCTTGAAGGTGTTCCGTAAAGAGAAAGGAAAGGGTCAGGCAATTGACCTCACACCTCAGGTACTGTTATCCCAGTGGTGTGCAATAGGTAATATATATTTTCCCAGAGCGAAGATGACAACTTCTTATTTTCAGGGTCTACACTATTCTCTGGACAGTGATCCATGAGACAGAAATTCAGTTTTTGCCGATTCCAATATGAACTGATCTGATTTGTATCTCCTGGATGAATGTGGAAGCTGTAATGCAGTTGTTCCGTGGCTTTCATAATTCTCAAATAACCCAGTGCTGCTATGTTCTCTTTCTCTTTCTCTCCCCATCCCCCATCCCCCTTATGTTGAAATGGAATGGAATGCATGCAAAAGGTGACATGGCTTGGAAATCAATCTTTCCACCCACCTGTATAACAAAGTTTGCACCACCCTGCAGCAAAAGCTTCACATCTACAGAAAACACACACACAGAGTGCATAGTTGGCATGACATTTGAAATCCTACAAAAGTTTAATAAAAATATGTGAATGAGTCTTATTGCATGCAACTTGAAAATATTTTTTTTCCTTGCATGCAAACATTTTACCATACCCTTGATTAAAATTTGGAAGGCTTGCCAGATATGTAATACCTTTAGGCTAAATCTAGCTCCCAGACTTCCAGTTGATCGTTCCCACCCTATAGGATTTTCCAGATCAGCCTGGACAGCCAGTTAGTCTGCTACCTTAGGCAACTGTTTTCTAAGTACTGCCTCTATGCTGGGGAAGCCCTGGTTGGCCTTGAAACATTATTTTAAAAAATGCAGTGATGGAAGCAATTATTCAAAATGATTTGCAAAGTCTCTGTTTTTGCCATTTAGGAACAGTGCTTTTGAAATTTTTGGATTTTCCAAATGATTAGAAAGGGTTTTTTTTGCTTTTTTAAAAGTGCATCCTGATTCAAAGCACATTTAATCGATGGAATTCAAGTAGAAAATTCCAAGATTGGGCATGCAAGATCACCCACATTTAGTAAACTCACATTGTTATTTGAATTCAGTACAGCACTACCTAGGGTTATTCACTGGAACCATCCAAGCACTTTTATATATGATTCATTTGAATGTTTAACTTTAGTAGCTGAAAGAGTGATGATCATTCTCACTGAAGTCCACAATTCCTCAGATATTCAAATCAGAATTTTTACTTGTTATGCAAATCTGAAAACTTTTTGTACCACATGGTTCATGCCCATTAAATAGTGCTTTCTGTAAGAAAACACAGAAATAGAGATGTACAACCAAGGTGCACATTTTTAGTGCTTTGAATTACCACCAGAACATAAAAATAGTGTGTATTGCTTTACTCTAATCAGACTCATTTTTATGTGACTGTTGAAAGCCCTTTTACATTCCTTTCTAAGTCTGGAAGTCTGTGTATAAAACTGGTTGGGGGGGGAGCAAAGTGAAGACACCTGCTGGCTTATAACACAAATACTAAAATATCTTAGAGCCTGCTGAAAGGCGAATTGGAACAATATGTCATTACTGAAGGCTCACTTGCAAGTTCTAATGTATTATAATGAAAACAGTATGACAAACCTAATGAGACAGTGAAGATTTGGGTAATTGTTCCTACAATGTATGGTAACTTTTCCAGCCATTATTGGCAAACATAAAACCTAATGAGATTTTATTAATTTAAATGCAGTACATCTGCAAAACATTTCCTTAGCTGCATTCTCCTCTGATAATCGTCCTTTCCACAAAAGCATGATCCTTTGAAGTTAATTGTTCTCTGTTGTATATTTTGTCTATACAAAATGTACAGAAGACCTGCTACAAATACACATTAAGCACAATGTTTACTTTTGGGATAGATATTCCTCCCAATTTGATCTTCCCTTCTTCTTTCCAGAAACATTTCACAGATCAGTCATTATGAATAGTATGGCCTTGCTGTATGTATTATGTAGTGGGTGGGAAAAAATCTTCTAGAAGGGGTCTGCAAATCATTTTATTTCCAGTCCACATCACCTCACATGTTCACTCACAAGCCCACCTCATTTCCACATTAATCTTCAATTTTTAAAGAAATCAATGCATTAATAGGTGCATTTAATACTTTTAAAAATGTCTACGCAGAACTAAGTCCTGATGAATTAAACGTGCCTTACCTATCCCTGGTAAATTGAGTTATCATTGCAGCTTAAATATATTTTCCCTTAAAATACTCCTTCCTAAGTACTATTCTGGAATTCATTTGGCTTGTGCTTAATTGATATGAAGGACCTTATCTTGTGTGTGTTTTGTGAGTGTAACTGACATGTTCCATTATATCGAAGTCACTTGAGATTCCCTCAAAATTCCTTGGATGATGATGATGATGATTTATTGAATTTATATAGCACCCTATGCCGCAAAACTTGCTCCCCAAGGGGGACAAGGAGAGATGTCCTCCAAGCATTCACTAGTTTTATCAAAATCTTTTGGGTTTTGGCCTCAAAAAGCCTCAGGAACTTCAGCTGAGGAGAAAAACCCGTATCTCACATGAGTTTCGAATTTAAACATCTCAGTAATGAGCCACTACCCAAATTATGCCTAGCATAAAATATCAGCAGGATCTATAACGTTTTTGAGGAACAAGAGATCCTTCAGGGTATTATATCCCTGGGTAAGCATATGCATTGATTCTGAAGAATGACAAAAATATTTAAATACAGAATCAATTTGACCACCAATAACATAATCATGCTGGCACGTCAGCTTTTAACATCAGTACTGACATATTGGCCTCCCGTGTCAGCTGCGTCAGCAGCACAGACAAAGCCTCTTGTTCATCACACCACGTTGGTTGATGTGTTGGTAAATCTCATCCTTATAATTTATTGAGTGAGAAGAGTTACAGCCTGCCGTTCAATCAAATGATCCTTAAGGCAGCTTTGGACCAAGTCAGAATTTTGGGCCAGCTGGCTGTTTGGCTAGAGAGGACGGCCTTATTGTCTGCTCCAAACTGCATGGAATGGGACGATGGCTTGTTAAACAGGTGAATTGGTATGGCTGGTCCCTTTGGCAGGTAGGTCCATGGATGGAAACAGGCCAGCTTGGTGACCTCCTTAAGCACCTTGCAGGTGATGGGTGGCTCCTGAGACCTGCAGCTCAGGGTTTTAGTACCAGGGCAGGCACAGGCTGCCTTTGAGACAACTCGTCTCAAAGAGGTGCAGGAAGACCTCTATACTCGCCTTCAGTGTGAGGATGGTTTTGGAGGCGTGGTGAATTGCCTCTCCTTATCCCAGCAGTGGCTGCTTGCCCTTACAGCTGCAAGCATTTGCCTGGAATTTGGTTATTTAGTTCCAGCACAAATAACTTTCCTTTTCACCTCTGCACCCAGGGCAACTTATAATTTCCCAGGACTGCAAATCTTAAGGATGGCCCGTGAAACAGTTTCTTCAGTTGCCATACTCATTAGGTGCAAATGTAAATACTACGCATGTGGTTTCCTGGGTGAAATAGATCCGTGACGGAGCCTTGGTCCAGCTGCAGAATTGTGCTTGTCTGCACACAGCGCCTGTTTGCATTAACATTTCCTGGCCATGTCAGTGCAACTTGCTTCAGGTGGCAACATGGTGTGTGTGTGTGTTTGTGTGCGTGGTGGCAGTGGAACATGATTGCAGTAACTGGTGCTTGAATGGCATGGGGAGGCTTATTAAAGTGTTGGCCATAGCAGGGGTGAGGGGGGAATCATTTGGGCTCTGCATCCGGCAGAAAAATGTCCTGAGGGGGCAGAGCTTTTTGGACTGGGGTGACAATTTCTGGGGTAACCAATGTAGTGCACTCCAGGCAGGCCTGTGCAGAAGTGAGGGGCAGTCGGGTACACTTGCCCTGGGCATCAGAAGGTTAAGTTGGATGGAGGCCCCTGCTAGGGACTTGTTGCTTTTTTGTTTGAGTTTATAACTTTATTCTAACAAGACTCCCACTCCCATCAGTCCCAGGCAACATGGCGAATGGCCTGGAGTGATGGGAGTGGTAGTCTGGCAAAATCTGAAAGGTGCTATGTTGGCTCCCCTATTATCATAATTGGGCTGTATTTCTCAAATATTTCTGAAAACAGGTAGAATTCCTGAAATATTTCAAAGTGTGTTAAGTGCCCCATCCTTAAACATTCACTAAACAAAGTCCATTTCTGGGAAACTCAATCTTACTATAATCACTGTCAAATTTATGATAGGACACTCATACACTCTTGCTAACATTTATCTGAAAACCCACTCATCCAACTAACTTTTATTTGTACCTAATTTTCTTCCTCGGTATCTTTCATTTCTGGTCAGCATGTCATAAAGGGATGACAGGAAAAGCTTTGACTTTGTGAGCCTAGATGAAAGAACATTTCTAAATGAACTCACCCAGAAGATGGTCGTTTCATAGTGCTAAAAGCAATGGAGCTGTCATGAAGTTCAAAAATTATATTGGCTACCCTCACAATAACTAGAATGAGAGCCTAACCACTTACCCCTCAAATTGTGCAGGACACATGGAATTTACTGTGCTTTACCAATGACTGTAGCAAACAATCTGGCCAAAATTTAAGTTCTCTTAGTCTCTTACTCTAACCTAGAGGTGAATTTAAGGGAGTGTAGGCAGGTTGCCTGCACTGGGCGTCAAGCTGAAAGAGTACTGCAGGAGTCACCAAAATAATTTCAAACAATGGAAAGCAAGAGGCAGAGGGTGCCAAATTTTGGTGTTGCACAGGGTGTTGCTGAAATTTTAAAGTCCAAAGTCTACTACCGCTCTAACCTACCTTACAGGGTTTCTGTGAGGATAAAATGGGGAGAAAGGAACAAATACATTGTCATGAGCTCATTACAGGAAAGGCAGGATATAAATAGAATAAATAACTAAATTTCAATGACTCAGAAAGAGTTTTGGCTTTATCTTCTTCTTCTTCTTCAATCACTTGTAGTCGAGTAAGATTGTCTTCCATGAACACAGTCTTAACAGTGAGTCCATAAGTGACTGTGGAGACCAATTCTGGAGCCACACAGCCTTACACAGTGGGGACATAGGGTTCTGGGGGGGGGGAGTTGATCACAGTGAGGGTTTGCCAAACATGCCTTCTTCTTGGCACGTTTCCCCCTTTCATCCTGAGTTTGAGCGTCTTCAAAGTCCATGATGCCTTTGGTAAAGGCTGTTCTCCAATTGGAACGCTCGCAGGCCAGTGTTTCCCAATTGTCAGTGTTTATACCACATCCTTTTAGATTTGCCTTGAAAGAGTCTTTAAAGCTCTTTTGCTGAGCACCAGCATTATGCTTTCTATCTTTAAGTTTCGAATAGAGCAGTTGTTTTGGGGGATTCTGAGCTGACTCCGTCCTGCCCTCGCAATGTCCTTGAAATGACCCATTTTCAGGCTGTCTGCCAGGTTCACCACACAGCAAGCAGAGGAATGACTTTGCTTAATTCATCCCCCATACCCCATAGCACCACATAACCAGAGTTTGGACGAAAGCCTTAGATCATGTAGCAGTTATGATTCATTCATTTATTTAAGCTATTTATTTACTGTGTCTTTCATAAAGCAAGGAAGCTCTCCAGCAGCTAACCATTATAACATGGATATATGAAGCTATGGCTGCCTAATTGAGTAGCATGTATTGCTGTTTTGTTCAGTTCCTGTTTTAACTTCTCTTGTTGACTAGGGCTATTTGAAGAAAGACCCCCTAGGGTATACAGTACATGTTTTCTTAATAAATACATAAGTAAAATTAATACAACATATATTAAAAACACCCATGGTGGCATCCAATATCATGAAAGTGGACTTGCTTCCATGCAACAAAACTTCTCCTCAACCTGCATATACCTTGTGCCCCCTACAAATCTGCTCTGGAGGATTGTCCATGGATTTTTCTGGGGGGTGGGGGTGGGGCTGCAGGTCATTCCACCAATGGTGTGCATGTTGGGATTTTTGACTATGTGCAATCTGATGTAGCTTCCCACAGAAGCAATTAAGGAGTTGGCCAAAGGCCAAGAAGACTGAGAAGAGGGAGTTATTCTGCCTAGAGATATGGGACCTTGGATACAACTCTGCTATTGGCTGAGGTCTCCACATAGGCATGATGACTCATGACCTTCCTTGTTGGTTAGTTGGTTGGATAGTGTGTGTTCTGAGAGTCGTTTGGAGTTTGTTCAGTGAGAGAGTTAAGATCTGTGTCTGTATCCTGTATATAGTAACTTGTGAGTCTGCTGTAAATAATAAACACCTCTAAGTAACCAAGTTACTGGAAGCAGCGTCTTGTTCCTGCTTCATCCTACCTGCCTGCAACTGATTGCTTCTGGAAGTCTGCGTATGCTCTGCTATATTCAACTGGGTCTGGCTAAGATCCTGCAACAGGTTAAGGTTGTGAAACATCAATAGTGCATTCAACTGCTAAATGGACACCTTTGGATTTCACCCCCTTAAGCTTTAGTTTTCTTAACAGTGCCTAACTCTTTAGGATTATGGCCACTAACCATAATGCAGTTATCCCACCCACAGAGATGCAATTCTCAGAGTTCTCTTTGTCAAGGGATTGATTGTGGAAACACTCTTGAAATTGTAGCTCAGGGAGGTGAATAAGAGTTGCCTAATAACTTTCAGCACCCCTAGGAAACAACAGGACCAGTGATTCTTTGCCATGGGAAACCATGGCTATTTAAAATGGTATGATACTGCTTTAAATGGATAATGTAGATGGGGGAAGAGTTAGTTGATGTCCCTGTTCAGCAAACTGGTGGACTTTTTTGTAAAGCGCTTTGAGTTTTGTTTATTTAACAATCAAGCAGTGTTTACATTTTATGAAATAAAAAATAAAATAAAATAAAATAAAATAAAATAAAATAAAATATGTGGTGGGCAGCACTGTTAATTATGGGATGCAAATTGGCCTGTATGCAGGACACACATTCCTACATTAGATGTATTACCCTTCAGTATCCCATGGTGACGTATTACAAACTGATTTTAAAAGTCCCCTAAGTTTCAAAAATGGTTTGCCATGTGGTATAGGAGGTGGTTTTTGAGATGAGGGTCACAGTTTAAGAAATCACAGTTGCCAGCTCCTTTGCTGAGCTGAACTACCGTATTGATGAATCGGAAATAATGGATATTTATCTCATAAATACCATTGCTGATCCACATAGTTAATCCTTACTGGTAAATGTATGTGTTTCGCTCCATATCCCTGTAGACAAATTCTACAATGATAGCTAAACACTGTCACATGGGCATGTCTTTTGATAGAATAATACTTGGTAATACTTATTTCCATGACCTTTAATAGAAAGTTATATAGTTTGATGCTGAATAGATTTAACCCACCTAAATCAAGAGCAGATGGTTGCTTGCCTCAACCAAGACTTCAAAAGGGAAGAAAAATTCTTTCCCCATTTACTGTGAGACCTCTCATTCCTAATCCACATGCTGTTTTTATAGTAGTGGAATAATGTGTAATAAATTCATAGATTAAACAGCACTCTATCCAAGTATAATCAATCAAAAATGACAGCTGATTGATTTCTTTTGTAAATGAGAATATACTTATTGTTTAATTGATTTCAGCATTCTCCAAAAGGTGATTTGAAAGTCATAATTCAAATGCAGCTTAGCTGTAGTTTTAGTAAGATTTTTACATAAATAAAAAATGTTACTTTTGACAATGCTGATCGTTTCTTCCTTTCTCTTTTTTTAAACTCTGTGACAAGGACATTTATAAGACTCATCTTGTCTAGAAAGGATACTACAATTTGCATGTTCATCAAGAGGTTTATGTTTTAAAACTCCAGGAACATTTCCCCACTTAGATACATCCTGTTAAAGCATAACTTTGAATGAACATCTGAGTGTAAGTTATATCGTTAGGAAAAGGAATCTCCCTTGGGTCTTGTGACTGTAGAATTTAGGTACCATAAAAAGCAAGAAACAGATGGCAAAGCAACACAAAAGCATTTAAAAATAAACATTAATACAAGTTGGGATACACATCTTATTAGGAATGCAGTTTTAATCATATTAACTGTTGTTGACATTGCTACTTCAACTGCTTCATGGGGCTTGATGGAGAAAAATCCTTAATTAATGTGGAATATGATGCATGTACAATATTAACATATATTATTTACTTTAAAAGAGTCCTTTTTTTAAAAAAAGATAGTACTACATTGCGTTCAGAAAACAAACTCAATAAATATTTCCAATTACTCCCATATCTTCCATCTGTTTGTTGCAAATGCTTTGCCATTTTCTTATTCAAAAATATTATAGCATATAACAAGGTAGTCTTTAATTCTTTTTCAGGGTAGAATGCTACCATTCAAGTCAATGAATAACCATCTTAACTGACAATCTAAGCATGCCACAACAAATATCCTGACCTGAGAGACGCTGGACTCAGACCTTTACACCTGGAGCTCTGGTATGCTCTCCACTGCATGTCTTTGCAAAATGGTTTCCCTCATTTATTTCAGTGACATAAAGACTGCATCACTTGTCAGCAACAGACTCTAAAGTCAGCCCTCATTTTCTGTCAGATTTTTATGACTGTTGGCATTGTAAAATTCTTTTCTTTACAACAATCACTTTGCATTGACTTATGGCACACTGGTTTCGTTAGCCATTTTGAATAAACCAGTGGAAAGGCAAGATATAATTTTTTTAAAGAAATAACTTATAAGCATTGAAACTAATGAGCACATGAGTTACTCCATCATCCGTGTGATGGAGGAACACTTTACATGCATGTGAAAGACTCAGTGCGTGGATACTGAAGTCCAGGGGGATTCAGTTGATTTGTTTTCAACATTACCCTCAGCTTCATGTGGTAAGGAAGTAAGGCCTCATTTTCTGGGAAGCTTCAGCAACCCTCACTGTGCTAAGTGAAGAGAGTTAGGCCATGATAGACTAACAATGCATAAATGGCTCTCAGGCATCTCAAGTAACAGATAAAGCCCCCTTCATTCTGCACAACGTAGATCAGCAGTGAGACCCACTGAGCTGAGAGGGGCTTACTTCTGCATGCACATGCAGCCCCTATTCATCTATATCTATCTAAATATAAAATAATTGAGATAGTTAACACTTAAATCATAAACTTTGTCACAACTCATATCAAGTTGGTATTGGTCAACTCATCATATTAATACTTTTGTCACTAATGGCTTTCCATATATTCAGGAAAAAAATGTGTTCTGGGATATATAGATTAGATTAGATGACACTCATGGTGCTTCACAATGAATTACGGGGGAGGCTGAGATTTGAATTTAGTATATCAGAATGGGAAGATAGTGTATGTTTGCAATCTATTTCTCCAAGCTGCAACAAGATTAAGATTACAATTTTTATGAAATATTGATGCCATTGCTGAGACACTTTTGGACAATTCAGAGTTAAAAATGAGCATGTTATTTGCATTAAAAAACATCTGTATACATCTCGAAGTGACAGGTGTGCTTATGCACTGCAGAAATGTGCCTCTGAGTGACAGGAGCCTTGAAACGTTGTTTATGTGTTTAGCTCCCAGTATCAAGGACATGATTTAGTAGGAAGCTCTCATGTTAACACCATTAATAGCATCTTCACCAACATTTATAATCCCATCCTAAAGAGGATCATTTCCTTCTTTTTTTGAAGTGAGAGCAAGGTTCCCTTAGCCTTAGCGCATGACTTTCTGCTCATGCTATTGAAAGTTAAAAGGTATCTGGTTAAAACAGTCATTCCCAAGTTAAAGAAACAGATTAATTGATGAGAAGTTCTGCATTGAAAACATGAAGGAGTATACTTTTTCTTTGTTTCTTTCCTATGGTAGTTGTTGTCATTGTCGCAAAATCCTGCTTGCATTTTTCTATTATTAAAATGAATGTCAACACACAGAAAGGTATGTTCACGCTGTCACATCGCATCTGAACTTTGTTTTGCAGGGAGAAGCCTTCGGTGATTTGATCACCTGTCAGAAGTGTCTCTGTGAAATGTCTTGTAGAGCCTTCAGTTCTTTTTCCGTTACCATCTGTGAAGCAAAAGAACAAAGCCCCCCTTGCCAACAAAGTATGCCGGAATAGAAGAATTCAACAGACATTCAGGTGGGGGGCTTTGCTGTCCATGTGGAAATCTTCTGCTATCAATGCTGCCCCCTCTCCCCATACAGCCATTATCATTACTTGTAAAACTGTGATTATACAGCCAATATGTTTGAATTAAACACAGCTTTCCAATGTTTTCCCATATTTATCCTCCCCTGCTTCCTTTTCATAGATGGATAACAGTCTGGATCTCTCTACAACAACAGCCTGCCTGTTGTTGTTGTAGAGAGATATTTTAAATCAAACCATATGATGACATCTTCTAACCTGCCTTTCAGCACATGCATGGTCAATATAGGCATAACAATGTTCTGAAGTGTTATGTTACTTAGGTATCTTCTTGCCAGGCCCCAGGAGGTCCTCTCAGATGCAGAGGGTAGTGCCAGTCCCAGCTGAGACTCAAACTGGAGGCTTCCTGATGCCCATGGTGGCAACTCACCTGAAGACAGAGAATCGAGGGGAAAGGAGCAGTATGGTTTCACTCCCCCTCTGTCTCCAATCTACATTATGAATGATTTCGGGTCAGCATAGGGCTTTGCCTTTGAAACAGATGATTGTCTTGCTTCTGTGCTTCCTTAGTCACATACCAGAAGCAACCTGGCAGCCAGTGTGATCTTCTTCTACCTCCCTGACTTCAGCTTGCCTCTCTCCATTTGCCCCCATCATGCAGTTCCCCAGCCCTGACATCCTCATGTATGCATTGAGTGTATCTGTAGGGGAAGCTATGTTTGACTGTGTGTGTGATTATGCTATGTGTTTGGGGGGTTTTGTATTGTAAAACGCCCTGTGATCCTCGGATTAAGAGCATTATAGAAATTTAACAACAACAGTAGCATGAATAGTGATATGTGTGCATAGATTCCCCCCCCCCCATCTTTCTGTGTCCATGTGCGGATGGGGCTAGTTGGAATGTGTGATGTTCGGGCAGGGGCAGGAGGTGTGGCTTTACCTCCCATTCAATGTGTACATTCCCTTTAACCTGTGTCAGGCACATGGAGGACTAACAGGTGCATAAAAAGACAGAATAACATTTTCTGAGTGATATAATACTGCTGTTTGCATAACAATGAGGGCACTTTGCTGTGATATGTGCTTCTCTGAGCAACAAATGAGTAACAGCTGCTCCCCTTTTTTGCCTAAAAGTTCTACAGCCAAATGAGCCCCACATTTGGATATTTAAAGGTAGAGCTTGATTTGACAAAATGGCAGCCCTCTGTTGAGTTCCCTTCTCCTTTTCCCATTATGTGAAGCAATGGAAGCATGTGATGTGACATCATCACATTGTCCATTTCCCTGCCTACACCCTCTGGAAATGAATAAGGAAGAGCATCACCACATCATACATTTCCATTCAAACACATCATGGTGGACAAGAGGGGAAACTTGACATAGTTTGCTCTTTTGCAGGTTGGTTGACCTGTATTTGTTAAACAGAAACTTGCACCCAACTTGGTGCATTCTTATCTTTAGGTTATAGTAAAATACAGTAGTGGGTTGCTTAAAAGAAATGTGTTCATTGAAAGAGCTCGTGCCAAATGCCTTGACTGTGCATCTACAGCCACCTTCCGGATTTTTTAATGTGAAATCAACATTCAAATAGGATTCTCTTTATTTAAATTAGACTTATTAGAAATTTAAAGCAGATGAAGACACTTTCAATAAAATGAATAAATAATTAAGGCAAATCTGTATACTTGTCAGAAGTTCCATATTAAGAATTAGGAGAAGAGAGACAGCTTCCTGACAGTTCTGTCCCATTTTTTTTTTTTTTAAATCAAGAAAGGTAAATTTAAAGAGAGAGAGCGAAAGAAATAGTGTGTGTATGAGAGAAGCTTGATGTTCTTTTCAAGTTTGCTTGATCAAACCCCAAACCCCAAAATGGTGCCAGATAACTTCGCTGATAATAATCATAGCCTTTAATCACAGATAAAAAAAGAGAGTGAAGCGATGCAACTTTATTTATTTATTTGCTTGCTTATTTATTTATTTTATCAGGCAGGAGGGGAGGAAAGAGTGAGAGCGAGAGTGAGAGTCAAGACTTTATGCTTCAAGCAGTTTTAAGCATTGATCTGGTTTGTGAAATACAATAACAGATTGCATGTTAGAAACTGGTCAGTAGGCAATGCATTGTCAGCAAACTTAGACAATAATCCTTTGAGTGTTGGAGCACTGCAGCCGTTAATAACAGAGCTTGTTAGCTAAAAGCTGGCAAAGCCTCAAGTATTTAAGAGGATTACTGCTATAAACCATATTAATTTTTTTTCCAAAAAAAATTCTCCCTCTTTAACATTCAGAGCCATTGTCATACTTTGTGACGAGCTCCATTTTTTTATTTCAATATTTTTTAAAAATTAGTTTCTGTGTGGGTAATGGATCTGATATTGTATGGGGCATTTTAGTTGTTGTTTTTAAATAAATTAGGTATCTGGTTCTCCTTGAATGGCAATGGAAATCAAAGACCTAACTCACTTTCAACTCAGGGCCAGTAACTGAAGCTGATCTAGAAGTGCTCACCTTTCTTGAGATTTGTTTTCTCTGTTCTGAGCATTTGTTTGGGGGTGCACCAAACTGCTTGCCAATAAACCATAGTTACAAAATATTGGAGAACATGAAGCATACTGGGACACTGTTGAGCCACATTGCCAAAAGTTAATATGTGGTCTGGCTTATCATTACGTCTAAATATTGGCTTGTGGTTCCTTTCACCCAAACAAGCCATGAGAACAAACCTTGGATACTACTTGGGGGTTGTTTGGGGAGAACAATCCATGAGCCCAGATTCAGATGCTCAGGAAAAGGGCTCTAAGTCTGTGACAGCTCATGCTTTGAATGCAAAGTCTCCCAGTTTCAATCTTAGGTGTTGGAATGAAATCACGACAGACGAGTAGCAGGTGTCATGTGAGAGGCGTCTCTCGAGCAAGTCCCGAGAAGAAGGACCCTTGGTAGGACTAGGAAAGATTCCATTCTGAAACCCTAGAAAGTGACTACCAGTCCGTCTCAGTGTAGACCAGAGCTTGGCAGCCTTTAGGCTTCTGCAATCTACCTTTCTTTCATTACAGCCACAAGGTCCACCAAGCAGTTGTCGTTGTTGTTTAGTCGTTTAGTCGTGTCCGACTCTTCATGACCCCATGGACCAGAGCACGCCAGGCACGCCTGTCTTCCACTGCCTCCCACAGTTTGGTTAAACTCATGCTGGTAGCTTCGAGAACACTATCCAACCATCTCGTCCTCTGTTGTCCCCTTCTCCTTGTGCCCTCCATCTTTCCCAACATCAGGGTCTTTTCCAGGGAGTCTTCTCTTCTCATGAGGTGGCCAAAGTATTGGAGCCTCAGCTTCAGGATCTGTCCTTCCAGTGAGCACTCAGGGCTGATTTCCTTCAGAATGGATGGGTTTGATCTTCTTGCAGTCCATGGGGCTCTCAAGAGTCTCCTCCAGCACCAGAATTCAAAAGCATCAATTCTTCGGCGATCAGCCTTCTTTATGGTCCAGCTCTCTATGGTCCATACATCACTACTGGGAAAATCATAGCTTTTACTAGATGGACCTTTGTTGGCAAGGTGATGTCTCTGCTTTTTAAGATGCTGTCTAGGTTTCTCAAGCAGAGAGATGTGCAAAATAATGGCTCTGATGAGAGGACACATAGAAGAATTGAGGAAAGTTCGTTTTTGAGCACATGCTCCGCTCAGTTTTGGACAAAAATCCACTCCTCGTTTTCCACCAAGCTTTTTTTGCTTCAACAGCCTGATTTAGAGAGGTAGGTGAGAACCTTTTTGCTGTAGCCACTGTTAGACCATGGGGAGTCAGAAACCCCAGACTCCCTACTTCAGATCACCCAGAGTTCTACTGGCCGATCCAAATCTACCTTCTCTTTGCTCCTGATGTGGACAAAGCTGAGTGAGATGGATCAATGGCCCTGCAAAGCACCTTCCTATGCTACAGCGGTCAACGGGTTGCCACCTTTGCCTGGGCAAAATAAGGGACCGGTTGGGCAAAGTACGGGAGAAGTAGGGGGAAATCTTTTAGATATTCTCTGCCACTGGCAGGATAATGATGACTTCAAAAATGTATCAAATGGGTAGGGGACTCTTTGCCCCCCAAAATGAGACAATCCCGTATTTTAAGGGACAGGTGGCAACCCTACACCAGTGTCCTCTGAAACCCTTAGAGATTCATTCCATGGCAGATGCTCTGGGGTTCCTTGACTGTGGAAAGGCTTCTCTGCTGGTAGAATGTTCTAAAGCTGCTGCTATATTAATTGGTCTCCAGGGCATCCATGATATGAAACTATCGTATGTGAAACTCCTGCAGCCAACAATTAGAAGTGATTTTTAAAAGACTTGCCATGCTTTGTGTGAGTGGTTTTTTAAAAAAGTCACTTGTTTTAAGAAATATATATATATATAGCGCAATCTTGGTAATAATTTAAAGGATACCGCCTTTGTTCAATTACTTCACAGACAAGGAACTTAATTGCTGCAGGGGGCTATGGGATTCATTCAAAAACGAAGCCCACCTTATCGTGTGATTTATGCAGCTGCTACATGTTACATTGGGGACATGGGTGGCACTGTGGGTTAAACCACAGAGCCTAGGGCTTGCCGATCAGAAGGTCGGTGGTTCGAATCCCTGCGACAGGGTGAGCTCCCGTTGCTCAGTCCCTGCTCCTGCCAACCTAGCAGTTCGAAAGCACGTCAAAGTGCAAGTAGATAAATAGGTACCGCTCCGGCAGGAAGGTAAATGGCGTTTCCGTGCACTGCTCTGGTTCGCCAGAAGCGGCTTAGTCATGCTGGCCACATGACCCAGAAGCTGTACACCGGCTCCCTCGGCCTATAGAGCGAGATGAGCGCACAACCCCAGAGTCAGTCATTACTGGACCTAATGGTCAGGGGTCCCTTTACCTTTACCTTTACATGTTACATTGCATGATTGGCAGTTAAAGTTTTTGCCATCTGCACTTTAATATTTAAATGTTCTCCTAACCTTTACCTAAATGTAGAATGCTAGCAGGTTATGGAGAAAGCCCTTTTCCTGACTCCCTATGTTTCTATGTCCAGGGATATTTTTTTTTTCTTTTCATGGGAATGAGGAACAGCTTTATCACTTGAGTCTGCTGATTAGTATAAATCACCAGAAGTTCTTCATATTCACTAAAGACAACTTAAATAAAGATGTAAAGGCAGGCACAGTCTCTTCTTTCTTTTTGATAGCAAGTGAAACTTGCCTCTTAACTGTGCCTTCAGAGATTAGGTTATAGGGTTGGCTTTCGAATAGATATCTATAGGACTGTGCTTTAACAACGCAGTTATCCTACACTTGTCTACCCAGAAATAAGTTCTATTAAGTTCAATGGGCTTACTCCCAGGTAAGTGGGTAGAGGATTTCACTGTAAGTGAGCAATTCTTGCTATTTGGGGGATTGTGGGTTTATGAGAGTGCTTTGTTTTACTTATCTTGCTGTTGCTAATATTTTGTTAAGATTTCTGGTTATTTTGGGGGGTTTATTTTTTTAGATGGTGGTTTTCATGGTGATTTGTTTTGAATGTAAATCAATCTTAAATTCACTTTTCAACATTTCTATGTCTGTTAGTGTGTGTGTGTGTGTGTGTGTGTGTGTGTCCTCATGAAAATTCAGCAGCATTTTAGTTTTTTACACAATTTGGGATGCAATTTTTCCCAATTGACACAATTGCACAAAGCAATTTCCCCAATATAATACACTTTGCAGGCTGTTTTCACCAATCTATCCATTTTTATGCACACTTAATGCTAGCATATGTATCTTATTTATTTATTTATTTTTACTTTTTTACATTGCTTGGCTGGAGATCTCCTATGCAACAATTCAGAGCAGTGAATTTTTTGTAGAATGTTTCGGCCTCACACCTTGTTTTGGAAAGCACAGATTAAGTAGGTTTACTTTTTAAATGCAAAGGGAGTCGACTCTTTTCACCATCCTAACCATGGTCCACCCATGATTTGGGTACACTCTGCATGAGCAAAATAGTTTTACCTTCTTCAGGATGAGAAATTATATTTCTCCAAATTAGCATAATCATAAAGATATTAAAACCCAGCTCTTGTTAGTGCCTACAATACCTCAGGGGGGAAAAAGACAATAAAAGATGAAGCTTCATATTATGAATATGATTGTGTTGTCAGCCATTTCATGCTTTCCATGGCTCTATTGGCTCTGCTCTTGAATTCAGACAATGCCATTGGCAGCCAGGGTAATTTTCAGCTCACTCTTCATGACAAATGGAAGCAGAGAACAGCAGTGAGACACCTTTGTGTAAGTGCTAAAATTGATTGTGAAAGACTCGCCTCCCTTCTCGCCAAACAAGGAAAGGGGTGTTTATGTAAAGCTGCAACTCGAAATGAATCTTCATTAACAGAATTGAGATAGAAAGCGACATAAAGGGATTCCCTTCCCCCTCTTTCACCTGCAGAAATGAACTGGGGAGTGTATTGATGGATATAGCTGAACAAACAAGTAAAAAGCATCTGGTTTTTCTGATCGACATCTATTTTGAGATACTATTGATAACTAAATTGAAAGCAATAGTGAATACATCAGGAAAAAGGAAGGAAGGAAGAAGTCATGGCTGAGTAGGGTGGATTGATAATACTTTTCACTTTTATACCGAGGTCAAAACGGATTTATCCACCAGCTTGAATAAGATAGATGAGGGCAGCTCAATTTAATCTAGAATGTTAATTGTTCAATGCATTTGCAAAGGCAGAAACTGTAGGCTTGTACAGACAGTCAAACAGGGTAGAAATTAATGTTTGTGGGGGCGGGGTGGAGAAAATAGGATTGAGTCTGATGATTCCACCCAAACCTTCAGACATTGATCAGGACTTGAGCTCAATAAATGATGTGCGTCTGTAACCTTGAGGGCAGGCCCTTTAAATACAGAAAGGAGTAACATGGAACCTGGCACTCAAAAGAAGTGTGTCATTACTACCCCGTCTGTGCTTTTGCCCCTCAAATGACAGCAGTCTTGCTCAGCCTCCTTGTGGGTTTTGCAAGGTGTGTTGATTCGTTTACTTCAAAAACCCATCTCTCCTGCTCATTCTGCTGACTTGGGACCCAGACATTTGTCCTAAAGTCCTGAGAGCACCACTGGGTAGCAGGCCCTCTAAGTCTGCACTGTTGAGTAAAGTGCTGTGTTGCAGAGGAGTGAAAGTCTGAATCACAGCAATGGCCAGTTCAGTTAGGGACAGGGTGTGTGTGTGTTAGAAAGGTACATAAGGGCTTTTTTCCTCTTTCACCTGTGGAAAAGAACTGGGAGTGTGTTGATTGATATAGCTAGACAAGCAAGTGAAATGCAGCTGGATTTTCTGATCAACATCTGTTTTGAGATACTATTGATACTTAATTAAAAGCAATAGTGAATGTGTGTGTGTGTGAGAGAGAGAGAGAGAGAGAGGAGGGGCTGCATATGAATGACAGCAAGAGAGAGGGTGTTTGGGGTTAATGGTTGTGTGTGAATTAGAGTCTGGCAGAGAGGATCTAGTGAGTAGCTAAGTGGGAAGGGGAGAGCTGAGATTGTCGGGAAAGAGGACGCTGCTCTGTGTGAATTAGAAAATTATAGAGTTGGATGTGCACATGCGGGGCTGGCTGAAGCCATTTTGCTGCTTCAAGTGAAGGACTTTGTGGTATCACGACCCAGATTTGATGCAAAAGTTGTCCGAATTGCCCATTGAATCATATTTCCACACTGATGAGGACAGGATTCACCTAGGATCAGCCAAGTTAGCACACACAGTTCTGTCCTCCAACATTGTTCTACTGCTCCCTGCCCTCCATCCACATCTGCTGCCTAAGGCACCTGTCTTATTCTCTTAATGTTAGGGCAAAATAGTAGGACTGCAGGGGAATCAAATAGTTAATACTTGGCCTATACATGCATTGAATCAACATGTAGAAGAGAGTGGACGGGTTCTGGATGACCCACAACCAGCGTCTATGTATCTGACAGCCCTGCTCCCTCACTCCGGTATGTTGGGTGTAACGTAAGGTAGGATCCCACATGCGTACAACTGTGTGTACAGGCTCTACTCACAATTAGGAACCATACATATGTGCATGTTGTATATCTCTAGAGCCCATTTTTATTTTCCTTTTATTTTCCTTCCAGACCACCAAAATTGGCACAGATCTCAGGGGTACTGGCCACAACCATACTTCACACCATAGACTGATGTACTGTGGAGTTTCAGCTACATCTTCCTGGTAGCAGACTGATGCTCATCCATCAGTTTCCTGTACAAGCGCAATTGTCATCCAGCAGAGACAGCAATGCTGCTATTATGGCTACTCATACAACAGAGGCTAGACAAAGACATCCACTTCCGCCCACTATAACAATCTGGGAGAATGAGATATAACAATCTCATCCAGTTCTGTTTGACCTCTGATTCTTCTTGAATGGATATCCAAATGGATGGATATCCAAATCAAAAGCCAAAGTGAGCAGGTTTGTTACTGCATGTAAGCAATATCTTAATTCATAAGAATCACGTTCCGAATCCAAATAATTTACTGTTACTGAATATGTGGGTCCTTCCCATTGATATTCTCACTTATTGGCATGGGTATTGATTGCCATGTGCACAGGTATTGGTATTGGCACCACGGTTGGAACATTTTAAATGAAACACAGAATACATGGAAATGCTGGACCTGAAATGCCGAAATAATTTTTGTACAGGATGTGTGCATCACAATTAATCACAAAAGTGCAGACATGGCTTATTTTGCACCATTGCCCGTTCAGAAACACAGACTTTTCACTTTGTTGTGCACTGGCTTAATTGCAAATTGTCCCCCCATTAAACAAGCACACGCGCGCACACACAAAACCACTGACCTGAGCAGCGTAAAGTTGCCCTTGGGCCTGAAACATAATGATTGTACAGTTTTGGCTTAAATGCATAAGAACTTGTGCCATGCATCACTCCTGTTTTTCCATGGCTCCAGCAATGCTCTTGGTTGTTTTTCAAGATTTTTCTGCAACAGCAAACATTATTTTTGCTTCAAGAGCACAGCAGATATTTATGGCTTCCCTACTACTGTGATTTCTGCCTTCTTCTTTCCTCCACCTTCTACTATCTGAGACATTAAACATTTCTTTATAATTAGTGAGCCTTGTCAGGCTGGTGCAAAGTAGCGGAGCAGTTGGCAGGCAGCCTAAGAGCAGAAGCAAGAATAGCTGGTTCTTGGAAGCAGAGATAGAAGCAGAAGTTGAACCAAGAGACAAATCCCTTACAGTTGGCTCATTCTCATCTTGGCAAACCTGAAATGTACACAGAGAAAATAATAAAGAAAGTAAGGACAGGAAGTGTGTGGGAGAATACGGATAATAAACACATAAATTAAGCAAACTCCAGATAGCTGTCAGTGTATATTAATGACCAAAAAGCGTATTTCCCCACTTGATCTTCAAAATGTGATTAAACATCTGAGGCAACTTTTTCTTGAATGAAGCAGAATTACAGGGGACTGCAACACCCCTACCATAACCTGATGCCTTCTAGCTCTTACAAATAAACATAAGTTACACACACACTCAACCTGTGCAGGCGGGCAGGCAGCGCAGCATAGCCACACTTGGCTCCAGTGGGGGGATCGCTCTGGTGGCCTCAGTGGCTAGGGCTGGGTGGGCTCTGTTCACCCTCCGTGCTGTGGCACCCTGGCACATGCATTCCCCAGTGTGCAAGCAGCCCCCCAGTGCCCACCGGGCACCAGCAACCCACGGTATGCCACTAATTGATTTTAATTGTTTTACTGATGATTTGTTAATTATTTTATATGATGATGCTGTCTTTGTGATGTTCTGTTCTGTTATTGTTATGTATTGTTTGCAAGCCGCTTTGAAATTCATTTGAATGAAAAGCGACATTAAAAAATACAATCAATCAGTCTGACCACAATCTGCACCATCACCCAAAGGGAAAATGCAGAGCTGTGGCCGGCTCTGTGCCGCGAGTCCGGGGTCAACCGAGCCAGTGAGACACTGAGGCGGCCAGCTGGCTCTGCCCTCCTGCATGCCTGGGACTGGGCAACCTGGGGGGGGGGGGCTTTGCACCCTGGCACTGCATATGCTTAAGATAGCCCTGTCCCCACCCCTTGTCATTGCTTACATGGAGAGGGGACATGAGCCATCTGACAAGAAGAGAAGGAGTAGAATCAGGACCAGGAGGTTCCAGCCATTAGCAGTGAGTCTCTTGAACTGGGGTGAGCCTTGCCAGAAGCCCAGTATTGCTAAGCTCTGACTCTTGGCCCTGTCTGTATGAACGGCCCGCTTCCTGTTTTCTACATGACAGAAATGGAAGGAGATACAATCCATGTAGCAGTCACTTCTGCATTTGCAGGGTTTTGATAATTGCCTTTCCCAACCGTTTGCACTTTGTCTGAATTTATTCCGGATTTGTTTTCTGTTATTCCTTTTAAAATAATGACCATGGAAAAAGAAATCTGAAGGGCTGCTTTGGGTAATATTTGGCAGCTGCTGCCTTTGAAGGCCTTTTTATGGCTCGACTAGGACAAACAAAAGTAGTTAGCAGCCAGTATTTTCTTACAATAAATTTCAGCATAAATCCAAGCTGCTAACAGCTACAAATGTATCTCCATAGGCAAAAAATGCACAGGCTATCCTTCCTATTGCCGCTTTCAAAACCACACTCACAGACCGCTAACCGCCTCTGTAAATCAGATTTCCCTGTGTGTGTCAACTGCTCTTGGAATCTGCAGCCAACAGGTAGATTTATTTTTAAAAAACAAAGAACAGCAGAATGTAATAAGCCTTTTCTTTAAAGCCAGGTTTCCTTGTCTGAAATGGAACTGATGTTATTCCATTTTTAACTCTCTAATTGCATCTACATACTGTAATTAGAAATCTATGGCTATGATCCATAGGCCTATTTATTCTAAGCACTCTGCTCCTGCACGATTTATCCTCTTTGAAGAAACTTGGATTAAATAGACAAATCCAAACTTCACAGTGCAACATTTTTATAAATGGCACCAGTTCCCCCATTTAACAACAAAAGCAGATGCACGAAATCTTCATTTGCTTTCCTGCTTTCTAGGTATTTAATTCTGAGCAAATATTCAGTATTCCCCCAATGAACCACAGCTTCCGATTTATAGGCTTTGCAACTCAGTTAGCCATGTGTCTCCCCCTCCCCCCAAAAAGCATGTTCTGGTTCTCCTTAGCCATGTTCTGATGACAAAACATCAATTTCTCCATCCTCCTCCATGTCAGTGGAGAAACGGATGCCATGATGAGGTCAGAACAGTGATAAGTTGCAGCAAAAACATTATTGAAGAGGGATGGAGGAGGCATTAGACACATGGATGCTGAATCTGGTGGCAGCTGAGTGTAATAATGTCTAGTTCCCCCCAGAATCATATTCCAAGATCAACTAATCCTTCCCAAATCATGGAAGTTACAGGCTGCTGTGTGTCATTCGTTCAGTATCATTTGTTCTGAAATTCCTCTAGGGACTCTGGACTGCAACCCTTATTGTGCTCTGTTTAACACTGGAGGTCTTGCACTGGGTGCCTGCACCAACTGATGTTTGGTGGGTGTATCCACTGGAACAAGGGTGGGAAACGCTTTTCAGCCTTAAGGCCACAATCCATTGTGTCTGACGTTCCAGGGACTGCATGACTGTGTTGGATAGGGAGATTTACATTTACGCAAGCCCATTCATGAATATCTACAGTAACTCCCACATAGATCTATTATTACACATTCATTCATTCAGTCATTCATTCATTGCACACCCATCCATCCTCCCATAGCAATTAGGTTTGAGAAAACACTGAAGTTTCCCCCCAAGTCTAATTGCTATAGAGAGGTGATCTTCACGGAGTGCAAAGGGATGGCAGGGTTAACCGTTTCCTCATCAGCTGCAGTCTCATTGAAGAGCCCCCACCCCACCCCCATTCAACAATTAAACTTGAAAACAGCTGCCCATTGGAATCAATGAGAGCTTGCTTAAAGGCCTAATTGCTGCATGGGAAGTGATTTTTGGCAGAGGAGTCACAGCATGGGAGGAAAGGAGGCTTAATCCATTCCTCCATAGTTGTGATTTCACCCTTCCCTAGAAAGTACTCCTTGCACAGCAATTAACTCTGAAAAGTGAGCTCCAATAGGAAGCTTATTTTCAAACCTAATCGCCATGCAGTGGAGAGATGGGGGTGGGGTCTATGTGCTGGATGAGCAGGTTCTATGGGCCACATCCAGCATATGGATTGGGAATTTCCAACCTTTACATCAGAAGTAGGAATGCCAGATTGATAGGAATTTGCCCTTTCTGCAGATGCTTGCCCAGTTCCACCATTCTGGTCCTTTCAGCGCCAGATTAAGACCTAGCTTTTCAGGATGTCCTTTCGGCCACAGTTTTCTCCTTGAATGACACTATCAGCCAGCCATCAGCTCCTGAGAAAAATGGCACCTTGTCCATACTGACACCATGTAAACTCCTACCTTGAAGAATTTCACCCCCTCATACACAAAAAAAACCCCTGCCCTGTATTTGGAGTAAGTAGCTGAATTTCACCACTCTCAATATCTAAGGGAAAGTTCTTAATGCCAGAACTTTCACCTTAGCCTCAGTTTAACCCTTCCCCCCCTTCATTTTTTGAGAAAGTCAGCATAACAGCTTAAAACAACAATATGCTTGTAATGTTTTCCCACAGAGGCCACTTTTACACTGGGCAGCAATACAATATAGAGATATTTTATTTTGTTCATTATTTAAACTCCAGAAGAGCCCTCCTTGATCAGACCACAGGCCTATCTAGTCTAACATTCTGTTTCCCTCAGTGGCCAAGCAGATGCTTCTGGGAATACCACAAGGAGAACAAGACAGCGTACAGGAGGCAGCCATTTATTTTCTTCAGTTTGAACCCCCATTTCAAGTTACAGATTAAAACTAAAATAAAATGTGTGTACATATGCGCTTCACATTCTATAGTTACCTTAACATTTAACCCAAAGCGACATCTGAAACAAATTTAGAGAGGTCTCTATGAAGACAAAATATCTGAGGGAATTCTGAGGGAACTTAAAATAATTTCTTTAAATTTAGGAGTTGTTGTTTTTTAATGACTCATGTTTCCTACTAGTAAACATGCAAGCAGGCAGTTGTGGATTTTGTGCATGTTTGACAAAGCAAAAGATAATAGCAGGAGAAAATCAAAATCAGATTTGCATCCCCGCTTCTCAGTTCTCTACAGCCTGTAGGCTTGTAGGCTTTGATTTTACGGTTTACGAGTTCAGGACCAGAAGTGAAGTTCACATTTCTGCCGTCCCCTCCGAGGAATAGCAAAAGGCTTGGCCATCAATCTGGGCTATTATTCTGGTGTGATGTATAGCTTTTGTCAAGAAACTAAGAAAAGAACACCCATTTCGAAATGCTCTTGTCAGTAAAAACCTTAGGAACCTCACATCTATGGGCACTTTGTGTTTTCATCACAGTTTCAAATTAATTAGTGAGAGACTGCTTCAAAAGCCTTAATCTGAGCGAGTGTATTAAGACACATGCATTAGCAGTTTCCTGTTTTCGTTTCGACATTGCATGGTTTAAAGAGTTCTTTTTACGTTCATTGAAGACTATTGAGGGCCTTAATGCACAATATTGACAGAGTAATAAAAATAGCAAATTACATTGCAGGCTTTGTGCCAACTTCATTAAAATCCCAGTCATACAAATATATATATATATATATATATATATATATATATATATGGAAGCAACAGCATGACTGCATAGAGTCCATTGCAAAAGCTACAGATTTACTTTAAGGCAGCAATTCTATAGCTGCTTACCTGGAAGTAAATCTCATTGAACTGCAAGGCGGCAAACCTATATACCAACTGTCTTCTGAGCAGAATTGTATAGGATTGTGCCATAAATCATGAAGGGCGGTGGTACCGTGTGGTGGTAACAGTAGTGTGGTCCCTTAACACCCACAGACCCATACACCATGTTTTAAAAAAGGACACTTTGCCCATATATAAGAATTACATCAGAGCAGGGAAACTGTGGAGGGAATGTTTAGGCATCAGTAATGACTGCAACCCAGATAGATCCCTCTAGTAATAGCTACAACTATTAGATGAACAAAACAATCTCATATTTAAGAGCCATAAAACCTAGGAAAATAAGCAGTTCAGCATTAAGGCTGTAAGGAATATATAAATGATGAAGCTGTGGACTGTAGGCCTGTCTCCCAGTTATAAACAAGCCACTTCCATTGTTTTAACTCAAGCATTTAAAATATTTGTTATTCCATAAAACGAGCTGAAATAACGTAACCTACCCAAGGAGAAGGGAGGTGCTTATAAAAATAATGGCACGAGGCAGTCAAAGCGAAGTATTTGAAAGTCCACTTCATTTTAGTAGCAGATGAAATCAATGGGGATTTAAACTGTGTTGAACATTGACTGAATTATGCCTGAAATTGTGGTCATGACCCATTTTGGGCTCTACTTCGATTGCCTTCAAATCCAAATTATAATTACTACTATTATCCAATAACCCAAAGAAAGGCAATATGCTATTGGGATCACATTCTCTACTACGTTGAGTTGTATGATACAAGGAGAAATGGTGGGAGCATGGTGGGGCAACTGCATCTCTGGACCATTCCTGCATGCCAAGACAGAGAAGGGTGAGGCAGTGACAAAGTCAGCGCCATACAAATGTGCAAATGTGCCAGCAGCAGCACCAGATTACCTCTGCCAGCATGTTTGCACTGCACCAATCTCTCGGCCGCCTTCCCTATTCCCCTCTCCTTTCCACTATGTAGCAGTGACAAAACCACTAAGTGGTGCTGACCCTCCAAACCATCGGTTTGGAGGTTTGTGTGTGTGCAACCCTAGGTGGGTGAGGAATTATGAATGCAGCAAATGGCTGGCAGTGTGTATAGATCCTCCTCAAAATCAGTTGTTAGGGCTCTGCATGTATAGCCCTGTGTGAAGATGGGTGATTGCACCATTCTGGTATTTGAGAGGTGGACTTTGAAGGCTGTATTGCCCATTCTGGTATTTGAAGACTGTATTAGCCCTTTCAGATGGAGTTAGGCCTGCTATGTAGTTAGTGGTTCAAGCGCAACCGTGTGTGTGTGCGCGCGTGCATTTGTGAGTGTGTCTGTGGATAGATGAAGACAAGAGGTGGTGTCGGAATAGCGCAGTAAGGTATGTGTTGTCTCTAAGAGGGCTGGGACATTATTTGGGGTCCTTGTCTGGCAGAAAAATGGTTTGAGCCAGCACTGCTTTCAAGCAGGTAATTAGTGTGACTGCCAGCTGTTTAACAGGACTGCGTTTTGCAGCCCTAGCCGCTTTAAGTTGGATCAGGCCAGATTGTCCAGTTCAGAAACCCGTTATGCAAGATTATTGTGAATTATACCTTAGTACAATAGCCGACAAAGGTCCGTATAGTTAAAGCTATGGTTTTCCCAGTAGTGATGTATGGAAGTGAGAGCTGGACCATAAAGAAGGCTGATCGCTGAAGAATTGATGCTTTTGAATTATGGTGCTGGAGGAGACTCTTGAGAATCCCATGGACTGCAATAAGTTCAAACCTATCCATTCTGAAGGAAATCAGCACTGAGTGCTCACTAGAAGGACAGATCCTGAAGCTGAGGCTTCATGAGAAGAGAAAACTCCCTGGAAAAGACCCTGATGTTGGGAAAGATTGAGGGCACAAGGAGAAGGGGACGACAGAGGATGAGATGGTTGGACAGTGTTCTCAAAGCTACCAGCATGTGTCTGACCAAACTGCGGGAGGCAGTGGAAGACAGGAGTGCCTGGTGTGCTCTGGTCCATGGGGTCACGAAGAGTCGGACACGACTAAACAACTAAACAACAACAGCACAATAGTCTAGTATCTACACACATTCACACAGTTGTCTCTATTCTCCATCCAATGATTCAAGAAGCGTTATCAGAGTTCAAGGGAATCTTCCAGCCCAGGATGTGTGTGTGTGGATCAAGGAGGGTGTGAATGAGGACCATGAGGAAGAAAGGCTGTGGCTTGGAAGTGGTATAGCTCAAATTCAGGTAAGTGGATGAAGGACTGCAGACAGCCTAATGCTGCACATGGCAGCAGGTCATGCAGTCTGCTTCATAAGGGTTGGATCCCACCAGCATGAGTGATGCATGGTACCTACCAACTTTCTGAACCCAAACTGTGCATTCTATTTTGTAATTGTTTCTGCATTAAGGGATCATAGAATCATAGAGTTGGAAGAGACCACAAGGGCCATCGAGTCCAAGCCCCTGCCAAGCAGGAAACACCATCAGAGCACTCCTGACATATGGTTGTCAAGCCTCTGCTTAAAGACCTCCAAAGAAGGAGACTCCACCACACTCCTTGGCAGCAAATTCCACTGTCGAACAGCTCTTACTGTCAGGAAGTTCTTCCTAATGTTTAGGTGGAATCTTCTTTCTTGTAGTTTGGATCCATTGCTCTCTGTCCGCTTCTCTGGGATGACTATGAAAATTACCGTAACATGGTTGCCTGAATTTTTTTGGTCCGGTCAGGCTGGTTCCTCCTCACAAGTGCAGAATACATTTCCATTTTGAAGGGAAGCTGACATTTTAAAAAATATATTTTAAAAAGAGAATGAATAGAGAGCTTCATCTTCTTCCTCTCTTTCTTTTTAAAGTTACACTGATATAGATTAGGGAACTAACACAAAGACTGAGCATTCAGTGGGTTATTGAGCTTGACATCTCCCTGTGGCAACAAATGACTAAGCGGGAGAACTTCTGGCCAGGCCAAACATTCACTGGTGGGCTGGAAACTGTAACAGAAATATTAGCAATGGTTTACGTATCGACCTGTCACACAGAAAGGTATCTTGGCAATGGGCAAAATATAAATGCTTGCAACTTTAAGACGACGACGTGTGTTTAGAACAAGATTGGTTTGTCTGGGGAGGGATAAATAATTAAGAATGCCTGGTATAACGTTGCATCATGTACCCTTAGAGAATTGTTCTATAATGCATTGATTTACCTATCATTTTAGAGCAGCTTATCTTGGTTTGTAGAAGCCTGACAGAGGGTTTGTGTATGAAGAAGTGTGAACAGGCAGATGGGGCAGATGCTGCATATTTGAAAAAGCTGGAAGAAAGAAACACATTTCCAGCAGGATGATAATTGTGATGGTATCAAGTAATAGTAGCAGCAGTAGTAACAACAGTAGCACTATATTGGTGGTGGAGGAGGTAGCAAGGGAAGTGATACTAGAGGCAGTAATGGTTTCCTGGTGAAATATGTGACGTTACACAAGACAACCATGATGTGGGTCCACTTAAATTAGGTACAATTTCATCTAAATAGGCAAAACCTTTGACCTTGTGGAGTCAATTTGTTAGGAATTCAGCTCTGCAGCTCCATTTGCGCAGGGACTTCTTTCCCTGCAATGAACTTCCTCTTCTTCTATCCCCTCTAACCCCTGTACTCCCTCAAAATGGTTGGTGCAAAAAAACCCCACCATATATATATATGTAAAAGATGCCAAGATCCAAGTTTGGGGCAAGTACTCTTTGGTGAGAGGACCCCAGCAGAGATTCCAAAATGTCCCCTTAAAAAGTTTTCCCCAAAGCTTTCCTCTTCCCCAAGCACGGGGGAAAGACCAGACATTTGGTAAGTTAAATATGGCCTACTCAAAAACTCTCCAAAGGTCTGATTTGTGTGCTTCAGAAGGTTGTACAGGCTGTAAAACCTGGCTTAGTTACAAAGAGGTGAAAGTTCTGAAATTATTGGTATAGGAACTCAGTAATGGGGTTGAGTCATGGGGTTGAGCTGGAGCAGCCAACTCTAACCTCTTCACCCACTGAGCTTCTTAGGTAGACTGGAAGAAAACAAAGGCTTGATGACCAAGTTCCTCCCAAGGTGCGAGGAAGTAGACATAACTAAGCCTGGCAGGGAAGCATATTCTATGGTATTAACTTCTTCATGCGTTAATTAGACTTAAGCATGTTGGCTATATAGACTCTCCTCCCTGGAAGAGAGGGGAGTGGTTGTGGGCGGGACCCCGAGCACCGCCCCTAGCAGGGGGCGGTTGCCCCCTGCCTCCACCTCACCTGGCTGGCGCCCACGCCCCCTCTGCAGGCATCCAACCAGGTGCCTCGGAGGGGGCATGTTCAGCAGCCTTATGCTGCGGTGCCAGCCTCTCCCTGGCCTCATTCTTCGCCGTCGTCTCGTCGCGAGTCACCCACCCTCCACTCCCTTAGAGTTAGGGCTTAGGTCATTGGCCTTGCTATGGACCTTAGGTTGGTCGCCCTGGTTGTCCAGGGGGCCTGGTAGGAGTTTTTCCATTTGGCATTAGGCTTTTTGGTTTTTTCACCTACCTCGTAGCAATCATCACAACTTTTGTGGTATTGGTGGGTAGGTTAGGCATTGGAATAATGTGTTGTGGTGTGTCGAAGGGCTAGGTGTGGCCATCGCCTATGCCTTCAATTTTTGGGTATTCCGTTAAAGGAATCTGGCGGTCGTGTGTTCTGTCCGATGCCTGCTTGGCGGGAGGCCATGGCACGACCCTCGGTGACATCAGGGGGGAGCCTATAGTTGGATTAGCATCAACAGGCTCCACCTACTGGTGAATAAACCCACGTGTTTTAGAGATCCAATGCCTAAGCCAATACCTTTTCACTGCTGTAATCAATAAAGTTGTGGCCTTTCCATGCCCATTAACCTTATATCACGTGTCCTTGTGTATTCATTTCACATCGCGGGGGTCGGGTCCTCGAACCACAATAGACTGCTTGTGTCACAAAAAGCAACTCTGGAGAGTATTGGGACCTTCTGGATCAGATATAGGGGGTGGACACTTCATCTACTGGAGGACAGTTTCGATGATCTTGTAGGGAAGCGCATATTCAGAGAACTCTTTGCATAGGGCCACTATTTGCAAACCACTTATCCCATAATAGTGTCATTTTATGTCTAAAGCTTTCTTGCTAGCTACTTGTTCAGGTAGTTAATTGAAGTACCATCCAAACCCTAACACAAATTTCATTTAAATCAGGTCAGAAGTATGACAGCAGGAAAGAGAAATCTGTATGAAAGCCCAAGACAATGGGACACCTTATGGTGTGCTCAAACAATCCACTACAAAACTTCTGGAGAGAATACTGTTGAATATTGTTTTCCTTTGGGTACATTTTTAATTAAACTAACAGCATGGATGCAAGTTTTAGATCTCTACTATTCAACTGGCAGAGAAAGCTATTTGAATTTTAACATCTTCAACTGTTTCATTTTTGTTAAATGAGAAGAAAAAATGCTGCTTTTATTTGCACGAACATAGAAAATTTTTAATACAAGCAGGCAATCATTTATAAGTCAAGCATTCCCTGGAGTGCACTGCAAAAAAAAAAAAAGGAAAAAGTATTAGTCATAGGATCCTAAGGAGGTGCTATTCACCAAGGACCACTGTCCCAGCCTTATTAAAATAGATGTAGGAAGAACTATATTCTGCTTTGAGCCATGATTCAGAGGGCAACTTATGCTTCAGCTGAAAATATATTATTTGTTAAGCAAAAAAAACACACAAAAAAAACAAAAGGATCCCATTAAAGAAAACAAAAGTCTTTAGCCAGCAGTACATTCAGTATAGAGGTAATGCTGAATAAATTGTTGCATCTGCCTGTGACTCTCCACTGTGGGCTCATGACCAATGGGCTATGCAGTTATTATGCCACAAGACGCCCACTGACTCACCCAAGAGCAACTTCAGAGAGTCAATATTATGGCATTTCCACAAAGGATGTTGAGAGGTTAGAGGAATGGGTTCAGTCAACATTTGGTGCTATATTTCCTTATTCATTCAGCCAGCCAGCCATAGCTCTCTTACAAAATAAATATAAAAGTAAAACAAAATCCAGAAAAAAAAATCATATCATTAGCATTGTATATGCATGGAATATTTATTGGAATGGGGTATATTTGGGTTGTATACCCCATTCCAATAAATATTCCATGCATATACAATGCAAATAATGTAGTCAAACATGAAGTCTACAAATAGTTTAGAACTGACAGGCAACTTAAGAAAAACTGAGCATAAAATAAACACAGAATTAAAATGCCTGGACAAATAATTTTTTTAAAAAAAGATTTCTTCTGGCACCAAACAGAAAATAAAGATGGCACCAAGTGAATCTCCCTGTAAAGGAAGTGATGCAAACAGGTGCTACAACTGAGAAGGCCCTGTCTTCAGATGTCAGAGTGACATGGAACATGGTCTTTAGATGCTCTGGTCCTCAGGGTTGGCCCAAAACATTTTGTTCCCGAGCCAGAGCATCAACTGAGGCCAAAGCCCAAGACCAGCCAAGTTATCTTAGCACGTGAGGCAATAAACTAGTAAGTACCCCAACCTGGCAGTAAAAATATAATCACAATAAATTAAATTACTTTTTATAGTACTCAAAGTTAGCTGCCAAGGTGTCTGTCTCACTCTACCTAATGGTAGTTAGCATCTTTGATTCCAGTCATTTATTTTCTGCAGTTATATAGCAGCCCCATAACACGAGCTGAAATAATTCAGTCCACACTGTTGAATTCAACATATTTTTGTATTAGCCTAGTGCAGAAAGCAGAGGCCCAGTTGTGGTGAATAGTTTATCCGGCAGTTCATAAGTTATTTATGTACATACTTGGTTTTTGGATCAAATGAGCCTCAAAATTCCTTGCATTAGCAACAAAACAAGATAGTTGTTTGCAGTTCAAAAACTAGCTCCTGGTTTTGAAGGTATGTTTTTAGATGTTTCTAGCATTATTTCAAAGAAATTGAGATTTTACAACCATTATCTTTCCTTCCTTCTTTTACTCATCCCGAAACAGGCTCTATTGTTATGTCAGCCTGAAACTGATTGTATGAAGTTTGATGGTATAGAAAGGTTGAAGGACAGGTTGAATTTTAAGAGCTCTTCTGTTTGTAGTTTTTGAAAATTACTTCAATGGATCAGAATATTTTGTTCTAGGATATACAGACCTGCACATTTAGACTCTTTCTAACTTTTATAATAAATAACAATGGATCTTTGAATATCCTTTTGGTATATGTTCCATTCAGGTATAGAAAAATAGAAAATCCACTGTAAATCTTACTTGTTATTCATTTAAACTGTGCCCTTAACAAAAGCATTTCCCCCCACAATGGAAAGCCTACCTTTTCAGAACTTTGTCTGTTATTATAAATTATACATATACATAAACTAGGGTTGGAGATTTATGCTTGGTGTGACCCTTTTAATGCTCTGTACTTGCTGTTAAGTTGCATATTTTGCTACCAAAGCATTGTAACTCACCACAAAATAACTAACGCTGAAAATTCAGTTAAGTCTCAAAAAAACCCCTAGGCATCCGTTCTCAGACTTGGCACTCCTTTTGGGAAATCAAAATTTTTATTGCCAGATAAATTAATGTTTCAAATGTGTGAATACAGATGCTGTTTGCAAATTTGCACAATCTGTCTTCCAGGGGAAAGAATTTATACTGTATACAGTAATGGAAAACAGAAAACTGCATATTTCACTAAATTGCATCTGTAGAGAGAAAGATTTATATGGTTGGTTTTGTCACTGAAACATGTGGCTCTAAAGCATTTCACTCGAGTGCTGGAAATGGGCATTCTGTGTTGCTATTCCAGTTATTCTCTGATGTGTTCAAAGAATGGATCCTCTATATCATATGCTGAAAAAATGCACAACTCTTTACTGTTTATTTGGAAAAGGTAAGTGTCTTTGTATGAGTGAGGAATTGGTGTCCATCTTGACTTCTGTTAATCTGGGGAAAAAATCATTGGAATGCAGAATACTGCAAACCAAATACCTGGTGAGGTGGCTTATTCAGTCACCAGAAGAATAACTTCTGGCAACTTCACTGGTACTCAGTCCAGTTTGGGGATGGTGACAGGGCCGGCCCACCCATGAAGCAAGGTGAGGCAACTGCCTCAGGTGGCAGCATACACCAGGTTAGAAGTTCCCAATGTAGATCTTTCTTCGCTCAACCCATCTTCCCAGGGTGGAGGTAGGTGCCCAAACGTCTTGGGACAGCCTTGGATGGGGGGGATGTTTTGCAAAGATAACTCCACCATAACCGAAACCCCAGTCATGATAAGAAAGCTGCAAGCCAAGGCAAACACAGGTTAAAGAATCCCTGCTTGGTGCTCTGCCCTTACTTTCAACTTGACTAATCTTTTCTGCCACTTCGTGAGGTCAGTGAAGCTTTGACAGGCCCTTCTGCCTGCTATTGGATTCATCTAATCACCTCATTTTAGGGGTTTGGTTTCTCAGTTGAATGGTAGTTGAGGGGAGGTGGCCCATGACAGGCATGAGTTGTTCCATTTTGTTGGTCATAGAATACTTCTCACCCTCCAATAATGACATTACTTGCCCATTTACCTGGTGGCCTTTTGCAATCTGTCTGCTAATTTTACTTGACCTTTTCTTTGCTCAGGGGTGTCAGTAATGGAGAATGGAGCCATACCACGCAGGAGTTTTAAAAATTGTTTTTGAAATAATAGTTCTCTTTAGGTATTTACTATCTGGGTTTAAGGGATGCGGGTAGCGCTGTGGTCTAAACCACCAAGCCTCTTGGGCTTGCCAATCAGAAGGTCGGTGATTCGAATCCCCGTGACAGGGTGAGCTCCTGTTGCTCAGTCCCAGCTCCTGCCAACCTAGCAGTTCGAAAGCACGTCAAAGTGCAAGTAGATAAATAGGTATTGCTCCAGTGGGAAGGCAAATGGCATTTCCATGCGCTGCTCTGGTCTTGGTGTTCCGTTGCGCCAGAAGCGGCTTAGTCATGCTGGCCACATGACCTGGAAAAACTGTCTGCGGACCAACACCAGCTCCCTTGGCCTGTAAAGCGAAATGAGTGCCGCAACCCCAGAGTCGTCTGCAACTGGACTTAACTGTCAGGGGTCCTTTACCTTTATCTGGGTTTAGTGAACACATGACAGGAGTCATGGATGGGTATGCTAGATCCCCCAACTTCACCATTGTGGTTACTCTCAATAGCTGGAGCACAACTGTCTGTAGTCAGAAGACTCCTGTGCTCATGGAGGCTTTGTGAACATTTTAGAACCCTGAAAGATCTGGGTTTGAAGCTTCAGATAGTTGACCTTTGACTCATGGGCTGCACCTGTAGTGGTCACAACATCCTTACCCCATGGCTCCCCTCATGTGACAACAGTGGATGTCTGAGGAGGAATATAAGAATGTAGTCTAAGCCCTGCTGGATCCGTTGAAAGGCCCATCTAGTCCAGCAACCTGTTCCCCAAACTACAAGAAAGATGATTACACCTAAACATTAGGAAGAACTTCCTGACAGTAAGAGCTGTTCGACAGTGGAATTTGCTGCCAAGGAGTGTGGTGGAGTCTCCTTCTTTGGAGGTCTTTAAGCAGAGGCTTGACAACCATATGTCAGGAGTGCTCTGATGGTGTTTCCTGCTTGGCAGGGGGTTGGACTTGATGGCCCTTGTGGTCTCTTCCAACTCTATGATTCTATGATTCTATGGTCAGCCAAATGCCTATGGGAAGTCTGCAACCTGAGCATAAGAGCACTCGCCCTGTTTGGGATTCCCAGCAAATGCTTCCGATAGTGGAGGTAGAATATAGTCATTGTAGATACACACAGTCACACACACACACACAAACATAGAAAGTGACAGAACCACAATAGAACACTTTAGCCAAGTACGTTGATGGTAGTTTCTCACAATAGTCTTTTGTGTTATCGTATATATTTCCACCTAACAGAATCTTCTCCTGCTGCCATTCCACACATCCCTCCTGCAACCACTGCCAATTCTCCTTTTGCTAAAAGGCTTCAAAACAGGAGTGAACTTTTTTTTTCAGCTGTGAAGTATTGGATCCAATTACTCCCAGCATCTAACAACAGAGTTTATTTTAATAGGATTTGCAGTAAAACAAGGCATATAAAAATCAGATGCATAGGCAAAGAATTTTTCATCTTTAATCATTAAGCTACCAGTACAAATTGAGCCCTGCAGTTATTTCGTTCCCAAAGGAGATCAGAGATTTAAAGAATTCAAGGGATTAAACATTTGTGTTTGAGTGAACATGCTAAGTGTTTTTTGTGCCCGATATCATTAAAAATGTATTTCTTTCAATACTTTATTTTAAGTGAATACAATACGCTTGCTTTCCCGGCTGCCATTCTTGCCAGACACTAAACTCCGATAGCATATATTCTCCACTGATGTCTTTTGAATATCTAATTTCTAAAACAACATTACTTTGTGTGTCGTTTTGAACTCCCAGATTACATGAAGTGCAGGCCACCTTTTATTTACACACACACACACCCCAAACCTTATTTGTTCACACATAGACCTGGTCATCTACATTTACACATGCTCTTCATAATCTACAAATCAGTTATTCCAATCATATGCTGAAAAATCTCCTTGGCTCCCTCCTCACCCCATATTCAGGATGCCGAAAGATTGCTGTTTGTGATGAGCTGCAATGGGAGAGGGGTGGGGCTCTAAACACCTACACCTGCCACCCTCCATTTCTCCTGCTAGACCTGCAAGCACAGGTCTATTTGCCACTCACCATCAGGGAAGCCAGCCCACGATCTGAGGGTGGTGGTGTTTGTGGAAAGCTGCAGGTGCCACTACTTCCAACCTACGGTTAGCAGAGCTATGAAGCAGGGATTTAGATGGCACAGTGGAATGCCACCTGGCAGGCCAACCCCCAAAAGCTGACCCCGAAGAAAAAACACCAAAGGGGGTTTTAACTTTGGGAAAATATAATAGATTTCTTTCATTGTATGTAGTATGAATTGAAATAAGAGGGAGGGTGAATGTATGGCATACTGTACATAGGTTTTGTGCTTTTGGGGTGCCCAATGTGAAAGACCTCCTGGGTTTGAGATAGGGAAGAGGTTGTTTTTTGTCCCAGGTTAGTTTTGGGGTGGAATGTGTGTATAATATACTGTACACTATGCTCAGATTGATCATAGGAATATTTATGGTGGGCTCTAGGAAATCAGCCTATGGTGGGCTGATGCCTTCAAAGGCACATGGTATAATTTGTTTCTTTGAATTATTTTAGCAGGATTATCTGGATACAGGATGTGGCTTGGAGGAAGATTGGTGGGAGGGTGTTGTAGAACGACCTGTTTTAGTGATCAATGGGAAGGATAGGCATGGCAGAGGTGCGATGAAAGGTGTACTATCCCTGGTACTGCTGGATTCTCTACCACTGTATCTAACAATCTGCTGGTTCTGCTGTTGAATGTCAGGTTGGTCCACAACCATTCCGAGTCATGATTTGATTGTGGACAAAAGAGCTGACCTGGTGTGTATCACAGAGACCTAACTAAGGGAGCTGGGTGAATCAGAGCTGACTCAGCTCTGTCTGCCCAGATACTTAGTGCAACACCAGCCCATACTGAAGGGCGGGGGAAATTAGTGTTGTGGTACGTAGGAGTTCCCTTCCTAATACCAGGACATCCCTCTCTTTTGGAGAAGGACTGGACCACTTGAATTTGGTGGTGCACCAAAGAGACAGCTAAGGGATGCAAAGCTTAGTGTTCCCCATCTGGCTGCTCAACAGCCTCCCTGACTGAGGTTGTTGTATGTATGGGCAGAACATTAATTTGGGAAAAACTTAAGTTTGGTTTGGGATTTCATGCTCTCTGTGGCAATAATAGTACCACATCAAATGGTCATCAGTCCAATGCACAGAGCGGGGCATCCTCTTGGTTAGTAGTTGCTTAATGCGGGGGAAAGGGTGCTCTGGTCTGGAAATAGGTGGGGTGGACATCACCCCATTGCCATTGTCAGACCACTTGCCAATGAGGTTTTGACTTGTGGAGGTGATGAACCAGTTAGGATGCTAGATAGATTCCCATCTTCTCTGGATGATTTTCAAGTGGGTTATAGCAGGTGATCCTCTCCATACCGTCATGTCAGTATGGAATAGTGAGACACATATGGCCATTGACACCATTGATCCTGCTGGTTCTCTCTGGCCCACTGTGAAGCCCACTTTGCTCCTTGGTATATTAAGGAACTGTGGTCAGTGAAGTGGACTAGGTGCAGCAGCAGCAGCAGCAGAAGAAGAAGAAGAAGAAGAAGAAGAGGAGTTTGGATTTGATATCCCGCCTTTCACTCCCCTTCAGGAGTCTCAAAGCGGCTAACATTCTCCTTTCCCTTCCTCCCCCACAACAAACACTCTGTGAGGTGAGTGGGGTTGAGAGACTTCAAAGAAGTGTGACTGGCCCAAGGTCACCCAGCAGCTGCATGTGGAGGAGCGGAGACGCGAACCCGGTTTCCCAGATTACGAGACTACCGCTCTTAACCACTACACCACACTGGCTCTAAGGGGCATAAATCTCACTCCAGAACAATGTGGGCTCCTAATTTGGGCTCATAGTTGGGGCCTTCCATGCGGTTCTCAGGGCAGTGATGAGATCCTACATCACTGCCTCCATTGCATCTGCAAAGAGCTGCCCAGAGTTGTCCCATGTGGTCCAGAGCTTGGTCAATGAGTCACGCATGGACTTATGTGGAGAGTGTTAAACCCTTTTCTGTATGTGAAACATTACTCATCTCCTAATATTGATCAAATTATTCATATTATTTTCTGTCCTTTTTTTAAAAAAAGAAAGAGGTATCCAGATGAGACTCAATGTGTGGCAGAACATGTTTAGGCATAAGTCAGAGAGAAGGTGAAGGAGTGAGAGAAGTTGCAGATGACATTTGACTGTTGAACTGAGAATATGTATCTATAATTCATCTGGAAAATAAGAAGTAAACAGCACATTAATTAAAAGTGAAGATAATATCAAACTGCAATAGGTTGGGAGTACCGCTGAGAAGGGATACAAAGGAAAGTGACCTAGAAAGGTTGTGGGGGAGAGAGGAAAGGGAAAATAACTTGGAAAAATGTACTATGGAAAATACAGAAGCATAAGAAAACAAGGGCTGCTGAGCACAGAAGGGTGGAACAGAGTTGGAGGAAAGACAAGTTCATTCACAGCTTGCATGTGAAGTTTGGATGTGAAGGAAAGTTATTGTACGAAATGAAGGTATTGCTAATTTTTGTAGAATTCGATTGCTTACTAACGCTCAATCAATGGTCATTAGATACTACTAGAGTTGGGTGGAGATGCCTACACAATGTTTTTGCTTTTTCTGAGGACCGGAACATCTTTCTCTAATAAGCATCGATGGTGAGTACAGATGCTTGGATGGTGTCTGGAGAGAAAGCATTTTGGGAATTTGTATGTATTTGTATCCAGCGAAGGAAACAGAAGTTAGATGCTCCAATTGTTTGTCGCATGTTTTGAGGTAGCAGATAGTGCTTTTGAGGGAATTTATGCAGATTAGCACTGTCTAGTACTAAGACTAAGGGACGCGGGTGGCGCTGTGGGTTAAACCACAGAGCCTAGGACTTGCCGATCAGAAGGTCGGCAGTTCGAATCCCCGTGACGGGGAGAGCTCCCGTTGCTCAGTCCCTGCTCCTGCCAACCTAGCAGTTCAAAAGCACATCAGAGTGCAAATAGATAAATAGGTACTGCTCCGGCGGGAAGGTAAACAGTGTTTCCGTGCGCTGCTCTGGTTCGCCAGAAGTGGCTTAGTCCTGCTGGCCACATGACCTGGAAGCTGTATGCCAGCTCCCTCGGCCAATAAAGCGAGATGAGCGCTGCAACCCCAGAGTCGTCCATGACTGGACCTAATGGTCAGGGGTCCCTTTACCTTTTAGTACCAGGACTGTATGCATTTGTCTTTATGATATACACACACACACACTCTTCCAGGTCACTTTGAGTATAGAGTCATAGGCAGAGTGGCTCAGTGGTAGAGCAGCTGTCTTGCATGCAAAAGGTTGAGGGTTCACTCCCCAGCATCTCCAACTAGGACAGGGAGAGACCCCTGTCTGAAACCCAGGATAGCTGCTGGCAGTCAGTACCAGATAAGGCAGCTTCCTGTATTCCTTTTTTGGTCTCCAAGTCATCTCAAACAGATAAATATCATCACCTTTTTTTTGCCTTGCAATGCCAGAGTTCAGCACAGCAGCAGAAAAGGGAAGGCAGTGGGCATGTGTAATTTGCCAATTTTCCATTAAAAACATAAATCCATGGCAACCTCATTAAGATCATGATTCCTGAGTTGTACAGATGAAATACATTCACTCATAGCTTTGCGGATGGCAAAAGTATATCTGGATGGGTTAAAAAAAGCTCTTCAGTCATATTCAGAGGCATTCAATGCCAAATAGACAAAGCTTTGTCAGTTTAAAGAAAGAGAGAGAGAGAGGAGAGAGAGACAGATTTTGAACAAAGATGAAGGATAGAGAAATAGTAAAAAGATAATATTCTCACTGATATCTAACACTTTCATATTTTAATAAAAGTATTATCTGAGCTGTGAGATAATGACTGAAAGGTTTGATCAGGATAAGTAATTTAGCATCTTGGTTGAAGCTGTGCTATCAGTTTCAGAGTGAGGCAATTTAAAATGATTTTCTCTCGAGCAGCTAAACATCCCAAGTGCTTTTGTCATGTCTGATGGCAACATTTTGCATGAGAAATATTATTCCTGTAACAGACAAGTCTTATACAGCTTAAATGGTGGTTTGTTTGTTTTCAAAGCCTTAAAACATTCTTAGTTGTTGGCTCAGCACATCATAGGAACAGAGTAGACCATAAATGCAACTTAGGCCCTATGCATTGAAAGCACTGGCATGCAACTTTAAACGTTCATCTCTCCCCCCCGCCCCAGTATCCTCAGAACTGAATTCAATGGGACTTAGGTATCTATAGCCATGTATAGGAATGCACTGTGAACTGCATTTTCAAATGTATTTGTAAGGTGCTGGAGTGCCCATCACCTCCAAGCCTAACTATCAAATACACATTAGGATTTTTATTAATATGTATACATATTCTACTATGTTAAGAAGTAGACAAAGAGGTAGATAAAGAACCAGTTCTCAATATTTTGCTGAGGGATTGTAAATGTCAACTTTGTTTTGAGGAAATGTTTGGTTTTCGTTTTGGTTCTTTTTGAGCATTCTAAACAGTAACAAATGCCTTTTGATTCACTTACAAATTATAAGAGAAGAGGCATGAAATTTTCCTAACCTTTCTTGCAGCTCTATAAATCACAAACAGACAAGAAAGTTAAGTACTGCTTCACTGGAAAAAAACCCCCACAGCAGACAGATGTAGCACACATTCCCCTCAAAATAATTCAGAACCAGTTTCAATTTATCAAATGCCTACTTTATCTGTCAAAACAATGTCCTTTCTCAACTAAAGGGCATTGTTTCTGCAGCAAAGGAAAAAAAAGTTCTGATGCATTGTTATCTGCAAATGGATGTTGGAATAATGGAACAACAGGCAGTGTTTCAAACGAGATCAAAGGGCAAACTGCACTGCAAATCTTGTTAAAATAAATTTAGTCAAAAATGTTAATTTCCCATGAAGGCACATCACCTAACTAACTTCTCCACATTGGTCTAAGAAAATAAATAAATAAGGTGACATTTGTTTAATTTAGACACAGGGCACATATGTACATACCCATGATTATTCGGGGAGAACAGAATGGTGGAGTGGAACATGCCTGTTCTAAGATCTGCCAGCAGCTTTGGCTGGGGGGAAATGTTTGCAATTGCTTTATTTGAATCTGCCACAAATTTCTGTGCAATGAGTAGACCATAATGGGCCCATGTGGCTGAAGGAACTGTTAATATTGAAAGCATTCTGTTTATCTCAATGTTGAACGTTTGAAACCAATCTTCTTTTCACCTAGGTTCTAAAATTAAACTAATAATAATCAAGAAATGTTTTGAGCGTGATGTCAAATCCAACTGATTTAAGTGGGAGAATTAAGTTAAAAGTAATGGAGCTTCTTTTAACCTGTGATTCTCCAGATTTTCTTGAACTACAAGTCCCATCATTCCTGATCATTGGCCATGCTGGCTGGGTGAATAGAAGTTGGAGTTCCTTGTTTTAACATACATACATACATACATACATACATACAATGTATTTTATGGTAAGAGGGACACTTACACTAGGTGCAACTTGGTCAGTGTTGCAAAATGACTGTTGAAGACAATGACCCCCAGGATTAGCTTTTTAAAGCAATGCTGGAGGAGGAGAAAAGTCACGACTACAACACGCCTGTGGTTCTTCAGATCAATTCCATCAATTCCATTTCTCTCTCTCTCTCTCTCTCTCTCTCTCTCTCTCTCTCCAATGATTAGAACACTTTCATGCTTTAATATACAGAATAATTAAGCATGACTCCAAGATGATGTACAAAAAAATCAGACACCAGTTTGCTCAGAGATTTAATGGCAGCAGTGAACCAGGCAGAGTGACCATACTTGCAGCTTCTTGTTGCTTCTGTGTTTTAAAGCTGCTGAATTTTGCTGGTGGGCTGAAGGAAAGCTGAGGACAATGCCATATAGGGTACTGGCAGCAAGCAAGTTTCTGTTCAGGATTTTAGGCATCGCTTCCATATAAAGACAAGAAAATGTTTCTAAGTTACTTTCAGACAATTTGTTTCACACCGTGCAAGTTTTTGTTGTTGTTTTGCAGCTTTTATCCACTGTTTTGTTGTTGTTAGTCATGTTTGACTCTCCGTGACCCATGAACCAGAGCATGCCTTGGAAACTCTCTCTTTCTTCTCAAAGCTCCTCCTTTTTTTTATGTTCATGGAGTTTTCTTGGCAAAATACTGGAGTGAATTGCCAGTTCCTTCTCCAGGTGGATCACATTCAGTCTAAACTCTCGGCTATGAGCTGTCCATCTTGGGTGGCCCTGCACGGCATAGCTCATCGCTTCTTGGAGCTATTCAAGCCCCTTTGCCACAGCAGGGCAGTGATCCATGAAAGGGTTATCCACTGTTACTCTGGTTGCTAATATTTGCGTTTGATTGTATTATACTAAGTTTGAATTCATTTTTATCAATGATTTTGAACACTGCCCTGAGATGTGTTTTGAGGAAGCATGGTATAGAAACGTTTTAAAGAAGCAAGCAAATGTTTCCTATGTGAACTGGGCTTTTTGCCTAGGCAGTGGCAGACTTTGAGCTCCCAAATTTCAGCGGCGCCTTGTTTGACGCTAAAATTTGATAACCCCCCAGCTCTTGCTCTCTGTTCCACAGTATTGTTTTGGCTCCCCCCGCAGCATGGCACCCCTGCACCAGTCATGCAACCCCAAAAGTACCTCTGGCCTAGGTTAGGGGGTGCCTAGGTCCAGGTATCACTGGTAAGGAAGGGACTTTAAGCTCTGTTCAACCCAAACGCTCGAGCGCCTGGAGGGATAAATTACAATTAATCATGGAATCATAGAATTATAAAGTTAGAAGGGACCCTAAGGATCATCTAGCCCAACTCCCTGCAATGTTGTCTCATACGGGGATCAAACCTGCGAACTTGGCGTTATCAGCACCATGCTCTAACCAACTGAGCTGGTCAGCAAGTGTTATATCCTCTCCTACCTATGAAAACCCATCCTATACATCTACATCTGGGGTCCCAAGGTTGAAGGACAAGGATCTAAGCCTACATGGGTCCTACATGGACAAGACTTTCAAAGGCACTACCCTAGACTTCGCTGTTTGATAGCCCTTTATTATGCTTGCTATTTCCGTCAGAAAGATATAGATGTAACACACCTTATAGATACTTCAGTGCTCTTCTTGATGTACATCAATATTGGCTTCTACCCCTGCATATACACCTCAACAACTATATTGTATTTGAAATTGTGGTGGAGCTGCCTTTGATGGACCATTAGAATAATGCAAGGACTTGAAGAATAACCATTAATCAAAATTTCTTGATAATGGATTATCTTAAAAGGCAACATCTCATGCTTTTCAATAAACATTTTCTTCATAGGGCTCAGTACAAAATGCAAATAATTTGTTTTACTGCTCTCTCTTAAGCAACCCACTCTCTCTGTAACTTTAAGTGCCCGAGTAATAGCATCTCCTCAGGGTGGGGGCACCAAATCGTGAAGCTGTATTTGTCTTTTACCTGAAAGTAAAATGGCTGGATTTAAGAATGCATCTACTTTATGGTCCTGCCTCAAGAGCTTTCGTCTGTTCTGGCCCTCTGCATCTGATTGATTGATCTACATCAGTCCACCTGCTAATGTGTTACTGCAGAAGCAAATGTGAGCAGAAAGCATGCAAAACTCAGCATAGTGACGTCTTAAAAAGACTTTCAAGTGGACCTTGACATATTTCAATGACTTCCTTAGATGTAAAGTCCTGATGGAGTTCTGTATGTTGGCTATTTGCAGCAGCCAGGAAACCCTGAGCAGAATCCGCCAACACACTGGTGAGCGAGGAGTGAGTGCACTTTCCTATTGATTCTTGAAAAGTTGTGATTCCATCACAGCAGCAGGGCCAGTTCACATCAATGGTTTGGTGTGTGGAGCTGAACATGGCAGAGTCATGCTAGAACCTACCTGTGCCAGTATATGGCATAGTCTGGGTGTCCTTGTCCCACCTGGGCTAATTTGTGATTGGCACTTTATAGATTATTTTTTATAGAGCAGTGATGGAGAACCTGCTGTTGTTTAGTTATTTAATTGTGTCCGACTCTTCGTGACCCCATGAACAGCACACCAGGCACTCCTGTCTTCCACTGTCTCCCGCAGTTTGGTCAGGCTCATGTTTGTAGCTTCGAGAACACTGTCCAACCATCTCGTCCTCTGTCATCCCCTTCTCCTTGTGCCCTCCATCTTTCCCAACATCAGGGTCTTTTCCAGGGAGTCTTCTCTTCTCATGAGGTGGCCAAAGTATTGGAGCCTAAGTTTTAGGATTTGTCCTTCCAGTGAGCGCTCAGGGCTGATTTCCTTCAAAATGGATCGGTTTGATCTTCTTGCAGCCCATGGGACTCTCCAGCACCATGATTCGAAAGTATCAATTCTTCTGCAATCGGCCTTCTTTATGGTCCAGCTCTCACTTCCATACATCACTACTGGGAAAACCATAGCTTTAACTATATGGACCTTTGTCGGCAAGGTGATGGCTCTCCAAATGTTGTTGGACTACAACTCCCATCATTCCTGGCAACTGACCATGCTGGCTGGAGCTGTTGGGAGTTGGGAGTCCCACCCTGCTATTTGAGCATGCACAGAAACATTATATTTAGCACCAATGTAACCATGATAACGGTAATTAAAATAGTTCCATTTTATTTTAATTAAGGGTAATTCTGACAATACTTGAAGTTGATGCTCAGTTGTCTGATGCAAAACTGTTTTGCAAAGGTTAAATTAACTGTGACATGAAGTAGATATCTAAATAAATAAATCAGAAACCAGTGCAAATATTAAAATGAAATACTGAACGAACACATGCTTTGTTTAAAAATGGTATTGATGCTGTCCACTTTGAAACAGATTAAACTCATGTACACATAAAAGTTAACTGATAGCATTTGAGCCAACTGCTTTGATTATAGCATCTGGACAAATTTTAAACACAAATATCAACACTGCCTGATTTTTGTCTCTTCTGTATTGTTTAACTACATCAATGCAATTTGCATTCCATTTGTTTTTAATATACAAATCAATATCCCCTCGCATCTCTTTACCTTTACTTTGAAATAAGCACACTTCATAAGAATCCAAAGTGCTTTGGATTGTGTAACTTCAAAAGGGGAACTTGCACAGAAAGTGAATCTTCATCTTACCCTTCTAGATGGGGCTCACATGTGTTGCAGTGGGAGATGGGGGTGGGGCTCTGCTGCTCAACTGCCCTCCCTCTGGTTGCATCACAAGATGGGGAGATGGTGGCAGCAGCAAGGCCGGCACTGTTCAATGTGCTGGTGGAGTCAGTTTGGGATTTATGCTTGTGCATTTGCTACATTGAATTTGGCACCATCTCCACCTCTACCCTCCATCTTGGTATGCGGCAGCAACACAAATGGAGGGAGTTCAGGTGAGTGGCTCAGCCCCACTTTGCCATCCACTACTGGTGATTTGCTCATCAAACACAACTGTAGAAACACGAAGGAACATGACCTGACTCATCCATTTGGTTATGGATTAATTTTGTAACATTTCAAGGCTATCAGAGAACGTGCATTATGACATTCTGCACGATGTCCGGGCTAGACATCTCAAATAGAATAGAATATCTAGAATATCTGTATGCAAATATACTTTTGTATGCAAATTTCATGGGGCATGAGGGGCATGAAGAAATGCTTACAGGCCTACAATGTTTTAGTGCCGGAGGCAGATGATGATGATGATGATGATGATGATGATAATCATTTAAAATGTTGTGGCTTCATATCAACAAGCATTCCCTAAGCAGATCACATGGACCTGATGGTGCAAACAAATCCGTACGTTGGTCTCGTTCTGCTGCAGTGCATTGTTAATGTCATTTGTTTATGCCACATCACCTTTAGACTATACTGAAAGTTAGGACATATACACATTGTAAAAATAATAATTAAGTGGCAATTGCCTGCCTTTTAATTGTGCCCGAAACCTGGTGCTTGAAGTGCTCACCAAACTCTAGTTCATAATTAATACTTGGCTCTTCTCTCTAAATAGGACATTTCTCTTTAAGTGATTATCATATCTACTTGGATAGAGCCATTTTTAAAGATTTTTTATGAAGAATAATGACAGGGTTATTTATAGGTTCTTGAAGCAGATTAGGTTAAGCTTTCCCAAAATGATAATTCAAGAAGACTAAAGTCAGCAGTAAAATCCTGCCACCAGAGCCGAATAACAGTTGTCAATATCAGTTTGCAGTGATTCACGTTAAACTGTTTTGATAATCTCAACGGCATTCCCCCGAGTTTTGAATCAAACCTTGGGTACTATTAAATCATAACTCTCCGAGAAAATTAATTTGAAATGGCCATGTTACGCTTAGCTTCCATTGAAATGGCTCCCTCTAGCCAACCATATACCATTCCTCAAGGTACCTTCCGATTGCAGATAACCGGTTTTAAAAGGCTACGACCTAGTCTAAGCCTTTAGGGAGAAGGGCAAGCTATCAATCCAAATCAATGAATGAAATAAATAACTAAATGTGTGCTTGTAATTTTTTCTCAAATTGGAACTGTGTTTTTTTAAAACAACAACAACACACAACTTAAATTTGCATAAAATGTACTGATATTGCATAAATACACTGATATTCATTACATTACATGGCATCTGTAGAACTACTCTGTCTCTTGCTTTTCTTGAATTAATTAATTACAGCCCCCCCGGGGGGGGGGAGAGGGTTGTTATCAGGACCACAGCGTATAGAGAGGGGAAGTTGGAACTAATGTGAACTTTCCCCCCTAAATCTTGTAGCAATGGGGTATGTGTGTGATTTGGGAGGGTTGTGGCCCTGTCCATTGCAATCTCAATAACACATCTGTAATTAAAGAAAAATGAGCAGCCTTAACACGATACCTTAACATGCTATTTAACTTGTAAAGTATTCTATGAGGTGTGGCTATGATGTCATGAAAATGGGCACTGTCTTAAGAAGGGGGTGGCCAGGATGGATTTTAATAAATATTGAACTCCCTTTTAAATTGATCAGTAATAATACTTATCAATAGTGACACAATACTTTCTATTGTTCTAAGCATTTCACTCATTGTCACAGTTAATCTATAGAAGAACATTTTGAAGTAGATCAGATTTTTTGTTCCCTTATTGTGAACTGGGGCTGAAACCCTTTTGTCCGTTCGTTTGGCCTAGTAAATTCATAAAGCAAAGTTGAAATTTGAACCAGACACTGCTCATAGTTCAATCTCTTAGCCACTATTCTGTGGGATTTGGCACCCATCCAGTAACATAAAATGACTCACAAGTTATCAGTTCATGTAACTTAATGGCCATTTGATGTGTGTGTGTATTCTGTTACATTTTGACATTGCAGTAAAAAATTATCTATATTCTAAATATTATTTTGAATTTCACTAAGTGCGCAAATGTAAGAAACTAAGAACAAAGTCAATATATTACATGAACAGCAGGTCCCCAGTATTTTTTTCTTTAAAAAATGTAAGTGGCTACACACAGTTGGACTGATTGCTTGTTTCCTTATTTTGAGAAAAATCCAGACAAGTGGCAAGTTACTCCATCTAATTCTTTCTATAATGCTGCTATATATCAGTAGGTACTGTATATTATCTGAGTTTATAATGAGTTGTATTAAGTGAAAGATTCTTTTCTTGTATTTTTATGTTGTTCTTCACTCTAGGATGGGAACAGTTATGGACCACAGGTATGAAGTTTACGGCATGCAATGCCTTAAGAGAGAATATTATGAAAATGATATACAGGTGGTACATGACCCCAGTCAAGCTTGCAAAAATCTATCATTTGCCTGATAATAAATGTTGGAAATGTAAAGAAACTGAAGGTACATTCTTTCACCTTTGGTGGACGTGCCCAAGGATTAAGGCTTTCTGGGAGATGATCTATAATGAAATGAAAAAGGTATTTAAATATACCTTCTTGAAGAAACCAGAGGCCTTTCTCCTGGGCATAGTCGGCCAATTGGTGCTAAAGAAGGATAGAACTTTCTTTATGTATGCCACAACAGCAACAAGAATACTTATTGCAAAATATTGGAAGACACAAGATTTACCCACCCTGGAAGAATGGCAGATGAAGGTGATGGACTACATGGAACTGGTGGAAATGACTGGCAGAATCCGAGACCAGGGAGAAGAGTCGGTGGAAGAAGATTGGAAGAAATTTAAAGACTATTTACAGAAATATTGCAAAATTAATGAATGTTAGAATGATGTCAGAATGAAGTTAAGTGGTTTTAGCAGCAATGTCATAAAGGTGTATGTAAAAATGGATTGTTAATAGGTGAGAATCTAAAGCTATACTATATTAAGTTAAAGGACCAAGACAAAAACAAAGAGGGAAAGGAATTGCTGAATTAACCAATTGAACTGGAATACAAAAAAGGGAGGTGAGAGGAGGTCAGGGAAGCAAGGAAATGAAATGTAAGATACGGAAGGATTGATTTGTTTTTAAGTGTTTTTTTATTTTTTTTCCTGTACTTTGTATTTTGTATGTTTTTTCTCTTTTTTATTTTTTCCCTTGTTTCTTTTCTCTTTAACTATGTAATTTTTTGTTTCTGAAATTTTAATAAATATCATTTAAAAAAAATATATAATGAGTTGTATTAAGTGAAAGATTCTTTTCTTGTATTTTTATGTTGTTCTTCACTCTAGGATTTTGTGAACAGTGAAGAGCAGGTTGCAATTTTTAAAATAATACATAAATAATAGGTAGTCCAAGGTGGAGTTACGTGCCTGTCATTAATTCACTTTAAACTTACCGTAATTATCTTCCAAGGGCCTTGCAACAACAACCCCCATTTTATTTTCACAATAGCCCTGTGAAAGTGGGTCTGTACCCTGCTTTCCAACATAAAATCTTCAACATCTGTATACCCCCCCCCCAATTTAGATAGACAGAGCCATCTATTTGGCAGGAATACCAGTTCTCACCAAAATTGTGCCCATTAAGAGATGACAAAAGTAATCTAAAGCTAGATTCGTTCATTCATCTATTAGTTTATTTATATACCACTGTTTGGCCCAAAGACCCCCAAAGCGGTGGGCATCACCAAGTTTTCCCACTGCGTTTATTTGTATTAAGACTGCAGACATGAAGCATATAAGACTTTTCGAGGTTCATTACCTACTTGGCATGGTCTTGGTTTGCCATGACGGCATCTCATGCTGCTCTGTTCATTTTTGTCTGAAGGAATCCTCTGGATGTGTGGGTCATACAGGAAATAAGTGTAATTGCTCTGTTGCCAAAACTCTTTCACCTACATCACAAGAGTGGTGTGAGAGTCATCCATGAGAAATAACTCCTGTCCAGCATCATTAATGTATTAATCAAGCTTGAGAATGCTGGGAATCTGTGTATGACAAAAACTCAAAGTGCAAAGTAAAAGAACTCAACACTTAAATCAGAAAGCCAGGTGACATTATGGCTAGCCAATGTAATCTATGTCGTTCTGATGACTCACTTTCAGATGGGAATATCTGTCATGTTGCTGAATGATACATAGTGGGCAGATCCTAAAGTAAATGTGAAGGAACTTCTTACCTCTATAAAGTAACTAATAATTTATAATAGCTATAAATCTTTAGCTATTGTATCATTTAATCTGAAATAGATTTAAAAAAACAAAAAACAGTTGCTAATCACATGCACTGAATGCTTTTCTTCAAATTCCAAATTTTTAACACTTCCAGGTCAGTTTTGCATATGTTCAATCATTTCAATCATTTTGTCCTATTTTTTGCATTATTTTTTGCAAAATGGATGAAAATTTCGCATTGCATTACTTTCCTCACCTTCCTGTAAAATATGCACATTGTGTGCTTGCTTTTTTTTTTTAAGTGCATTTGCCCCAAAGGCACATTTCAGACACATTTCCCCTCACAACACACATATGTCTACATTCCTTCCTCACAAGAAATGATTTTATGATACGTGTTTCAGTTGAAGTTGCATCGCAACACTCGGAGAAGTGCTTAACCTTAATGGTTAACTTCTGTTCCAATCCACATTAAGTTGGGGGTCGGGGAGGTTTGCAAATTAGCAACTGGTATTCAAGCAAAGATGTACTCTCCCAAGTCTACATTCCCAGCATGTTCACACTCCTGTCTCAGTGACATTTGCGCTAGCTTGGTGATGTGATGCCCACAGAATGGAAGATGGCAGGGTCCCCAAGGAGGTGCTCTCCAGGGAGGTGCTCTCTTCAGGCACCAGGCCTGTTGGCAGACCAACTCTGTGTTACAAAGATGGCTGTGAATGAGACATGAAGGCTGGCAAGAGATGTGCTGGGCCTGGGGGTAACCCGTGAAACGCAGTCCAGGACCGGTCCAGAATCTGAAGTTTCCATGGGAGTCAGTTCAGCAGGACACGAGGCAGGAAACCAGGCAAGGACAGGTACAGGATCTCAAGCAGGATCTAGCATACAGCAATGTTGCTCCTGCAACCTGGGGCAGGGCCCGACAGCCTTTTATCTTTATCGGGGTAGCGGCCGGTCCTGATCCCCTGGTGACTCACCTCCCTGTTTTGCCCTAAGGTGAGCACCCCTCATGCAGGTCTCTCCTTCTCTCAGACCTTAGTCTCTGCAGCTCAGGAGATGTCAGTGGGTTACTAGACCCAGGGGCCGCCTCAGCCTCCCCTGACCAAACTGGTAGTGGAGCAGCTGTAAGTGATTGCCCAGCTGAAGGCAATGAGGTAATCCCCACATCTGGAGCCAACCCTGATCGGCCCAGCTGGTGTTTGTCGTAGGGGAACCTGTGCAGACTCGGACTCTTCAGGACCAGGCCCCAGGCTTGGTTCAGATGATGCCTGAGGCAAAGGATCCGGTGTGGACTGAGACTCCTCTGGCTCCAAGTCCGAGCCCAAGTCCCAGGCCATCACATAAGAACCCCTTTGCAGATGACTGCAGTGCCTGGAGACAGACAATCAGGTGGTACGTTCATATCATTGATCAGAGGAGGAATGACTGCTGGGAGAGAGAAGAAACAGCATGGTACACCAGTAGCAGCCTTCATCTTCCCCAGCTGCAACAAAACATGCCTCTCCTGTATTGGTCTCTACAGCCACAGCAGGCGCTGTAACTCCCCAACAGTTCGACTTCACCCCTGAATGTGCACTCCTCCGTTGCCTCCTAATACAGACAGATGCTAACTATTTAACTGTAACTAGTTGAATAGCAGTTTCTGCTGGTGCAATGGAACATTCCTACCCTCCCCCACTTGCCTTCCTCTATGTGCCCCCTAAATATGTTTTCTCAAACCCTCTGGAGCAGATTGGGAGATGGCGCATGGGGAGGAGAGGGGATGAGAAAGCCCCATAGCACACATGGAAGTTTTTTCACTTGCACAATTTTTTAGTTAAACACTGCCCTTGCTTTTTATTAACTGAAAGCAGGAATCTTGACAGTCTAATTAAGCAAATATGTGACTCTTTCCAACAGCCTTTCTACAAATTCAGTTAAATTTGGTTTATGATGTGAAAAAGAGGTACTACTAATAGACAAGAAACATTACAAATTTTATAAAATATTTGATATACAATAATCATATTTTCTATTAGAAATCGATTTCCCTTTCTGTTAAATCTAATCTGTTTTCCCCAAACTGCTACTTTAATCACTCTAGTGATGAGTCTACTATTTGGGAGAAAACCTAGCCTTTTGATGCCACTCAACTATAATGGCTTTTTGTTAATCCAAATATATTTGGGAGATTATCGAAAAAGAATGTATGGAAGCCTGGGTCACACTGTAATGCTTACAACATCTTTAGGTGTACCACTTAAAAACATAAAAAGTGAAGCAGCCCTGAGGCTCAAAGCAGATGCATGTGTGGAAGCAGACTTGCATGGACATCTCACTTGCTGGACCAGGAAAGAAAGTTTGAGTGTATATTAGATAAATATTCAGATGTGCATCTAAATGCAGATGTCATCTGTCTGCACTGTATTGCTTTCAATTAGATGCTTATCCGCAGCCAAATAAGGATGCAGCTAGTCACATGTGAGAGACGCGGGTGGCACTGTGGGTTAAACTACAGAGCCTAGGACTTGCCGATCAGAAGGTTGGCAGTTTGAATCCCCGTGACGGGGTGAGCTCCCGTTGCTCAGTCCCTGCTCCCGCCAACCTAGCAGTTCGAAAGCACGCCAAAAAGTGTAAGTAGATAAATAGGTACCACTCCAGCGGGAAGGTAAACGGCGTTTCCATGCACTGCTCTGGTTCGCCAGAAGCGGCTTAGTCATGCTGGCCACATGACCCGGAAGCTGTACGTTGGCTCCCTCGGCCAATAAAGTGAGATGAGCGCCGCAACCCCAGAGTCGGTCACGACTGGACCTAATGGTCAGGGGTCCCTTTACCTTTACTAGTCACATGTGACAATGTTTGGTCAGAGCTGGATTGGGCTGATAGCAGCTTGGGTGCAGTAATGGAAACACACATATTTGTGTTTGTGTATCCCACAAAATCTTAATATTAGATTAGTATTTTCGTCTTATATGGAGTTTAAAGCCTTGTTGTTGTTTTATTGGAAGAACTCAGAACAGGGTTGATATGTTGAAAAAATAGCTCTTACCCAACCTTCATATTTAATTAATTAAAATTTCCTTGGCAGTGATAGCAAACTGAGGGAAGTAGGAAGCTCAATTGAATATGAATGAAGGGGAGGGGGGAAGAAAAATAGAAAACTGGACGGTTTTATACCCTTAAATCATTCTTGCTGATTTAGAGAGAGGCAGACAGCTCGTGAGGGACTTTCCAAATGGAATTCTGCTTCCTATTTTA